TTCTTCAGGTGTTCTTTAGTAATGGTTTTATTTAGAACCATGAGTTCTATATAGAACCATTTTATGCTTACATGGTTCTTTGGATGGTAAAATCCAGTGGTAAAATCCAGTCCCTCAGATTGATGGAGAATGTGTTTTAAGTTGCTCTATATAGAACCTTTTTGAAAATGGTTCTATATAGCACCAAAAATCTTTTATTTTTACGATGTCAAGATTGTAGCAACAATAGAAGAACCCTTTTTGGTGCAATATAGAACCATATACAGCAGATCCTCCATCAATCAGTTATTCAGATGATTACTGCATGCAATCAAATCCTCACAGCAATGTTCCAGCATCTAGTGTAAGCCTCCCCAGACAAGTAGGGGCTGTAATTGCAGCAAATGAGGAGAAACTCTCTGTAAGTACCCTTGGTTTTCGAAGAAATGGTAGATGAGCTTAGATGATACACACTGTATGGCCAAAAATATGTGGACACCCCTCCTAATGCATGAATGCTGATAGTGGCGTGAAGAAGAAAAAGCTTAATGACACAAGCACTGGTAGACCTTAAAATCTTTTTAAATGTCGAAAAGGATTTGGTCAGTCAGGTCAGCTGTCAGTTACTGGGCCAAAGGGACTGAAGCTGCGAGTCCACTCTGATGTCCACTCTTCTCTTGATGCTCTCTTCGTGAAGAGATAGGACATTTCTGGCCATCAGCCTCTTTCTGTACTGCTGATGTCAACACTGTTGCATAATGCATACTCAGTATTATCTTCAGTGATGCACACATGAGCACTGATGCTGTGGTGCTGACTGTTCATGATTTAGTGCATTTTTGAGTCGGACATTTTTACACACTGCATTGTCTGGCTTTTGTGGATTCAGTGTACATTTGCGTCTGTAGAGCTCCATTATTAAGTTGTTCAGACGAAGCAGTTTTCGAGCTAGAACTACAAAACTTTGCAGGATCGTAGAGCCTATAAGGGAATAGCGTGCTTACACTTTTGGGACTGATTTTATGGCTTTTGCACAGCATTTGTTTAAACACATTACATAGCAGATAGCAGGCAGTTTGGGGCCAATTCTGGCTTTCCTATGTGAGTGTTGGTTGACCACTGGGTAAATGCTAGGCATGCGGGCCAGAATAGGTCCAGATCCTGGACAGCTTCATATGGTTTTGCCACGTGTCTACATTCATGGGACAACTTTGGCGTGAATGTTGTGGACCAACAATGTAGCTGGCCCAGACTGGGGCCAAATTTGGGCCATGTCCTTTAGTTCTACTCATTTTACAGTATGCGGGCTAGATCTGGGCCGATGACCCAACCGTATGTTGGGCCAGAACAAACCAAGGAGGTGACAAATTTTGCTAACTGGGAAATGAATGCCGAAATGTTAAGAAAGTTAAATCTAACTGCCACAGATGATGACACAAAGGACATCTCACACTGCCCCTCATAGACATTACAAAAAGACTCACATACATACCACCATACATATAGACCCACACACACATACCATAGCAATAGCCTAGCAACATCTTAGCAACCACCTGAGATACCATAGCAACGGGCTGGCAAAAAAAAAACTTAGTACACTTCCCTAGCAACCTAGCAACACCTTAGCAACCACCTATAATAGCAATGGTTTAGTAAAACTTTAGCAACCACCTTGGATAACATAGTTATCCAAGCTATTATTCAGCTATTTTTAGGTCATACGAAGGGTATTAAGACCTTTGCACTTTACTGTATATGTAAAAATCTCCAGGATCAATTAGCTTTTTATGTAATGTTGCTCAGGCCCTTAAATGGTCAGGTTTATTACACACTTATCACTGCTGTCAGAAGAAAACCTTGTATCTCCAAAATGTAACTTTACAGGAGAAGGAAAAAACCTACTTTACTTTTAATGTAAGTCAATGGAACCAGACTTTTTTCAAAGTCATTTTGGGTCATTTCTTTTAATCCATTCATCATGAAATTTACATACAATGTAAAAGGCAAAAGGCATTTTCAAATTACGTCAAAAACTGAAAAACGTCAAAAATGGAGATACAAGTTTTTCTTCTAAAAACAGCTTTGGATAACCTAAAAATAGCTCAACTAGTTTGCATTGAAGCTTCAGTATGTCATAAGCCTGGGATTTGAAGGGGTTAAAAGGGTGTCAGGAGGGTGTGACAGAACTTTATTTCTAGTGAACAAAAGATAATGTTTCATGCCAATATGCACCTGGATGACCCATTAATATCTGAGTTCCATTTTCCATGGTAAGTCTTATATATCATACAGCTTTGTGCCAAAGCCAGTGAGCTGGCCGTATCTCCTGAGGGTGTCCTTAATCCCATTTCACTCAGGGCTCATGCTAAAAGACAGCGTAGGTGTGGAGAGACATGGTGCCCAGTATGAAGCCAAGCAAGCTGGATTCATCACAGGGATTACCAGGAGGTGCAAAACACGCTGCCAGCGCTAAAGCTGAAGTTGCCTGCACATACGTTGAACACATATATGGCCAAATTAATTCATTATTGAGTTCAGGTGTTTGAGCCACATCCATTGCTAACAGGTGTATAAAATCAAGCACATTGCCAAGCAGTGCATAGACAAACACTGGCATACTGAAGAGCTCAGTAATAGAAGCAGAATAACTGAAAGAGTCTCTCCAGAAGGTGTTTTCAGAAGGCGAGTACCTGCAGCTCTAAGATCACGTGCTGGAACACAAACAGACAGACACTCTGTGATGTAAGTAGAGCTTTAAGATCAAATAGAGCCTTAAAAACTAGTAGCAGAACTTTGAAATCTATCTAAAAAGATACAGGTAGCCAGTGCAGTTCTTTCTAAATGGGAGTGATGTGATCTCTCTGTTTTGTTTTTGTTAGGATCTGTGCTGCTGCATTCTGTATGAGTTGTAGAGGATGGATAGTTTTATTAGCAAGCCCAGCAAGAAGAGCATTACAGTGATCAACTGTACTTGTAACAAAATGCATAAACAAATTTCTCTGTGTTGCTCTGGGATAGAAAATGCTGAACTTTAGCCACTTTGAATAAGAAGCTGACATCAGCCTTGATAGATTACCATATCAAATTTGGTGCAACAGTGTGACTCTGGTGTTGGCTGACACAACAGGCAGCGCTAAACTGCCTAATTATTACTTTTTTTGCAATGCCAATGTAATTTTCATGGCATCGAGAAGACAAGAATGAAAATACGATATATACAAGTTTTGGCTCTGTATTAAAAGAGTCCGAGTGCTAAACTGACCTGCCTGCAGTCCAGATCTGTCACCCACTGATAACATTTGCTGCACTATAAAATGAAAAATATGACAGAGGAGACCCCGAACTGTTGTTCCTCAGTTCCCAAACACTTACAGAGTGTTGTTGAAAGAAGGGGTAATGAAACACAGTCATAAACATGCCCCCCGTCCCAACCTTTTTGGAATGTGTTGTTGGCATCAAATTCAAAATGGGCAAATATTTTTTCAAAAAACATTAAAAATTCTTAGTTTGAACATTTGATTTGTTGTATTTGTCGTATTTTCCTTTAAAATTTGGTTTACATGATTTGCATATCATTGCACTCTATTTTTATTTACATTCTGCACAGCATCCCGACTTTTTTGGAAATGGGGTTGTACATAAAAACAGAAAAAAGCAGCAAACTAAAAAAACCCAAACTGTAAAAAATCTTAGCCGGTAGTGAACATCTACTTAGCACTGATTGAAGGACAAAATGGCGTTTAGGACAGATATGGAGAGCGTCAGGATTATGATTGGCCGCAACACAATGACAAATCAATTAATTTTTCTGCTGTGCTGCTAGTAAAGTTCTCATTGCGAGTCAAAATAACTGTTTAGATTTTCCCATAATTGCTCACGGGGGCTACCTAATGGCTCAGGCCCCTGGGCATGTGCTCATAAAACCCATTGGACGATCCAGGCCTGCTTACCTAGCAAGCATAAGTGAGCTATCTCACCAGTCTGCCTGTCGTCTGTCTTTTGGTTGGCTGTTTAAATGTTTATCCATCCGTTTGATCATTCATTCAACCACCTATGCTGGCACTCCATGGGTGCATGTCCAGCAGTAAAATGAATAAGAACCTTATACTCTGTCACCATTCAAAAGTTGGAGAATAGTTTGGACACGGTAGGATCTACAACATCACCTGTATATGTAGAGCTAGTTTTCCCTTATGCTGTTGTGTTCAGTGCTACTTCAGTGCCTTAGCAGGCTGGCACAGAGGGAATCATGGGTACCATTAGGACCACGCCCAGACAGTTCTCAGCTGTTTTTTTAAGCTGTGTTACTATATTTGTCTCGTTTTTTTACTGGATGTTTAATTTAGTACTTCTAGTATCATATAAACATTTTAAAGGTGGTCCACCCTTTTGCTGCAGAATGCTCTTGTTGCACACTCACCAGGTTTGTTGCACACTCACCAGGTTTGACCTCCCGTGAGGCTTTGTCACATCGTGTAAAGGAGCGTAGGGGGGAAGAGGGAAAGGGATGGGGTCACACTGAGCAGGGAGACAGGGTGGGCAGCTCGCGGTGTGTCAGACTGTGGTAGACTCTGAGTCCCGCCACCAAGCCGGCAGGCTGCTCTGAACCGGTTGCCACGGCAACGGAATTCTAATGACGGCACCCCTGGCCCTCGCCTTGACGAATAGGGAATGATGCTGCGGACTCCGGCTGCTGCCTCTGCTGCTTATTTGTGTACTTTCATATGTGCTTCGTGCAGATCTGGGTGAAAAAAATACAATGACAATAATAGAAACGGTGTTTTCCAGCATTGTGAAGGCAGCTACCATTGAAGTCGTACCTTTCGTTCCTCTTCTTCTCGCCCCATCCCTTCCCCCATCCCTCCATCCGTCCTGCTTGTGCTCCCCCCCTTTGTGGACTAGCCATGTGACCACCGCAAGCTGCTCATTGGCTGGTGGCACAAAGATAACTGCCCTATCAGCAGCATCCTACCGTTCATATAAACATTAGCAAAGCTGCATGCTTATGAATCAGAACTGTGTCTGGATGCCAATGAAGAGCCACTCTCTCCTCACTCTCTCCTTCCCTCTATCTGACCGCACTTCTGTTGCCAGCTGGCTCCCACTTCTTCTGCTCTCACTGACCAACGGTCAGGCCATTCTACCCTCCTCATCCTCTGGACGCATGTGATCGAAGCGCCGGAGGGGGAATAGGACATGGCTCTGACACTGGCCCGTAAGTACAAGCCCCATCAGCAGACATACGACTGGTGTTGGGGTCTTTATTGGTCACCATATCTTCTAATGCTCTATTGACCAATGTACAATTAGAAAATACTAATTTCTTCCTCACTGGAGCGCTGGACCTGAGTGAATTTCATTCATAGTCTTCATTTTTGTCCTCATTCAATATGACATGTTAACACTGAGTATATCGTTGCCAGGGCCATTACTGGCTATAAGAGTAATATACAGCCACTTAGGACACCCATGCCACAAGGAGCTCCTTAATTGGTTGTATCTATCAAGATATTGGCATAAGAATATATTTAAAGCCTTTCCCTGCATTCCTATTGCATATATTTTTATTCCAAGCCTTTTCGTAGAATTTTCATGGGTCTCAGTTGTTGAGCTAGAACCACAACACTATAGGATCGTACAGCATATTCAGAAGTACTGCACTTGTGCTTTTGGGACCAATTGTACATACGGTTTTCGTACAGGCTTCGTTCAAACGCGTTTTGTTTTCGGTGGAAATGAATGCCAGAACGTTCAAATCTGACTGCGACAAATGAAGTCACAAAGGATCTCTCACACTGCCGATCATAGACATTACATACCATCTCACATACATACTGGGACATATATACACATATATTAACAACCACCTGGGATACCATAGCAATTACCAAGCAACATCTTAGCAACCCCCTGAGATGACATAGCTATGGCCAAGCAACACCTTAGCAACCACCTGGGATACCTAGAGGGTTTGGCCTAGCAACACTTTTTGAGACCAACTGGGACATGCTCTAGTTTTAATTTGTATTTGTTTTATCTTAGTTACATAGCCAAATTAGCAATTTATGGGTCGGTTTACCGGATAGGGATTAGGCCATTCTGAATGGGGATTCTCCACTGAAAGGAAATTATAGCCCAAGACTCTGGGCCCAAGACAGGGACTCAATCCCTGTCCAGTAAACCGAGCCTAAAGATTCTATTTGCCTTCAATATAGTTCATTATTGCTTTATTATGTTTGCTTCAGTAATCGTTACACTTTTGTTATAACAAATTGAGTATTAGTCCCTTTTAGATGCGAAGCATCTCACAGACCTGGCTTGTAACTACCAAACTAACTGACTGACTGACTTTCGCATTCACATTTAGCAGCCTGAAGATTCTCCCCAAGAGGGTGCTACTAGCACTCAGATAGCTTTTGGTGCTTTGCTTTAGTGATACTTTGTCTGCTTGTTCAATTTTTATGCAACATAATATGATTGGAGTGGCCCAAGTTCAATGTCACTAGGAACCAAATATTTAGGAACGTCTGTCGCTTCTATCTCTGAAATTGCGATGTATAGAGGAGGGAAAAAAATTCTTAAAGTCAACGTGAAATAATTTTTTTTTACCTTGTTTTGTCATGTCTCTGTCATATTATACCATTTTAAACACAAAATACCCCTAATCTTTACTAGAAGTGTAATGACTTTTTCCCGGCCTTGTTTGCATCACTGTGCACCAGTGGGTGGGGAAAAAGAATTTCAACCAATAATATCATAGTAAGAAAAAAGAACTACTAATCAACTAATAATATCAAATATCACCACCTATCATTGAGAGAAAACCCTCAGCTAGCTCAAAGACCCTCCCTGATGTGTTTCATGTGTTAAATGCTCTTAACAACAAATCATCAAACATATAGATAAAGTAACTCAGTATGGGATTATGGGTTTAGTGATAGCAAAGCAATGTACAACACTACTGTTATCTGATGGTATATTATTCATCTTGGTTCACATTTTTGATATTTAACTCGTCCACTTATCGACACCAGCTCAAGAATGTTCAGTCTGATCTGGAATGATGGGGTACAAAAGTTTGAGCACCCATTTTATGTCATGTTGAAGTCCATTAGTAGCACCCTATTAACCATATGGGGAACCATAACAACCACCTGAGATACCATTAACAACCACCTAGCAACACCCTAGCGATCACCTGGGTTACCATGGCAACCACCTAAAATACAGAGGTAACCATTCAGCAACACTTTAGCAGTTACTAACCATTCGGCAACACCCCAGCAACCACCTGGGAACTGCTGAAGCTGTGCAATCACTCTGCATTTTCTTCAGGATATTGGTGGCTTCAAACAGTTGAAAAACACTGCCAAGCTAATTTGTGTTTAATGTGAGACCCAATATTTTCTACAGGCTTTAAAGGTGGACAATGACCAGCCCAAAAAAATATTGTGTTTTGGGTTTGGCCTATTTTTTTTGCACAGGAATGTACATAACAGTACATAATGTAATTTTCAATAATCTCTGACACATTAGAAATATAATTTATAGTGGACAGTTGAATCTGGGTGCAGTGGTTACACATTTGACACCTTTGTACAAACGAAAACAATGTTTTTAAGCAAAATAGCATCTTTTTTTGCTCAGTGTGGTGTTCACTGACCATTTTAGCTAATTTTCAGCATAACTCAAAAACACTGGCCAGTACATGACTAGCAAACCCAGCTTTGAACAGTTGTACACACAAAAAAATCATTAAAAAACTTTACTTAATTGCAGAAAATGTATGTTTTGGTGGTGACACTTCAGTTTGAGACAGTCACCTCCCAATAGAACGTACCCTGGAAATAATGATTTTGTATATATTTAGCTTATTACTATCTCTATTCATGCTTTCGGTTTAAATAGATCGCAAAATAATCCTTGTAAATGTCCAAAAGGTCTGAGGGGGGGATTATTTTTCAGAATTGTCCTTGTTGACAGCAGGGAGGGAAAAAAAAAACCTCTTTAAATCTGCACAATTAACAAAAATGACATGGTCATCATTTTAAACAAGTCAGTAAATTTGGCCAAAAGGTGACAAGTTTGCATATCAGCGTGTTTGGAGGTGGTGAGTGACAGCAAAGGGGCCCTTAAGAGGCCAATTAGATTTTAGCTGGGGCCAGCGTCAGTGCAGTGGCCTCACCCCTGGGTCCACCCCAGTTCTACAGGTAGTAGAGTGCACTGTGTGGATGCTTCTTTAGCTTCCTTTTGTGCTAAAGTGAGATATTCATAGTTCGCCTTCTGAATTTCCTCTGTTTTCTTTGCACTTACATAATTCTCTTTTGTTCAAGAGGAAGGTAGTGTTGTTTGGCACTTGCACTGCTAAGGAGCTCAAGGGTTGCTAAGGGTCTGGTGCTCTTAAGATATGTCACTTTCTATTGCCTAATTGACTATGAAACATAAATGAACCATTCTGCCAAATTAGTTCAAACTGCATTCCCACACAAAAAAAAAAATTAAAGAAATGAAACCCAAGGCATTAATTAAGGTAAAAAATAAGCTAAATATAGACAAAATCATTTATAGGGTACTTTGTATTGAGAAGTGTCTGTCCCAAACCCTAACCCCTAGGGTTTTGCATGGCATCACACTGTACAGTCGCTGCCATTTTGAGGACCGCTAGTGTGATGCCTTCAATTTGCTGTGCTTAGTGAATGATTCACCTGCAATTCGTGACAGAAGCCCAGAATGATGAGAGACTACACAACGTTTAATTCAGTGTTTTCAAACTCCAGGCTTGCAGCCCCTGCACTGTATAGTTTAGTGTGTCTCTCTGTTGTTCACACCTCGTTCAGCTCAGAAAGGGATTAATTAGCTAATTATATCAGGTATTTTAACCAGGGAAACCACAGTTATGCAGTGCAGGGGTTTCAGGACTGGAGCTGACCTCTGCACTAATTGCACTAGCAAACTTACAAAATCACGTCTGTCGAAACACGACGTCGTTTTCCGACCCACGACATTCAGTCTGATATTTAACTCTTATGTTTCTCCATTCAAACGTCATTTAAATCTCCAGAAACAGAGAAGTAAAGTTATACCGGCTGTTTGCAGCTCCGTTTCTCTCTCGGCTGTTAACATTAGTGAAAGTTATCTAAAGGCTAGCATTGTTCACATCTGTGTTAATTAGCTGATGTCGTTACCCTCCTATAATAACAAAGAGTTTTTCTCCTCTTTATGCAACACTATGGGATCCTTTACCCACCCTGACGTGAAGAGCCGGTGGGCTTCTGTGAAGGCAGTTAGTGAGTCAGATAGTTAGTCAGTGAGTCAGAGAGTCAGTCAGGTAGTCAGTAAGGCACTCTGTGAGTCGTCAGTCAGGTAGTCTGAAAGGGAGTTAGTCAGTCAGACAGTCAGTCAGTGAGTCAGCCAAGTAGTCAGAAAGGCAGTTAGTGAGTCAGACAGTCAGTCTGGTCATCAGGAAGGCAGTTAATGAGTCAGACTGTCAGTCAGTGAGTCAGTCAGGTAGTCAGAAAGGCAGTAGGTGAGTCAGACAGTCAGTCAGTGAGCCAGTCAGGAAGGCAGTTAGTGAGTCAGTCAGGTAGTCAGAAAGGCAGTAGGTGAGTCAGACAGTCAGTCAGTGAACCAGTCAGGAAGGCAGTTAATGAGTCATTCAGGTAGTCAGGAAGGCAGTTAGTGAGTCAGTCAGGTAGTCAGGAAGGCAGTTAGGGAGAGGGGTTGTGTATGAGATTAATATAGATGTCAGGAAAACACAAATTTGGTAGCTTTCCGCCGGTTTAAGTGGGACCAGGAGTTCAAGGGAAACTGTAAGGATCACAGTTTATTTTATCGACTTTGTCGAGGCAACGTTTTTTCTCCTAAGTAAGGTGAGTAATTTTAGCCGTCTTTCACCTCTAGTTATGTTCATGCGGAGTGCCAGATATGGAGGCCACAACAGAAAAATCACGTGACTGAAATAGTAGGATAATATGAATATGAAGTGGAGAGTTTGATTTATCATGGGTTTAATTTTAAAAAAAAAATGCTGTCCTACATTTCTATGTCATTACCGAAACACAAAGAGTTCTAGTCCATACGGAGCTTTATTTTAACCACACCCCTGCATTTTAGAGCAGGAAGTGAGGCTGCATCCCTGTTAGATCCCAGTTAGATCCCATTGTTTTGAAGTAAATGTGTCCCAGAGTCTGAAAATCAGTGCGTAACATTAAGAACACATATTTTCTGCGATTAGGTAAACTTTTTTGCTTTTTAAGAAAAATATTATGATTTTATGTGTGTACACCTGTTCAAAGCTGGGTTTGCTAGTCATGTACTGACTAATGTTTTTGAGTTTTGCTCAAAATTCCAGTGGGATTCTGTCTGGATGCGTCACTATGAATCGATTGATCAGCAAGAGCTCATTAGTCTGAGAATGGTTTAGCCAGCAGTTTCCCTCTGAGTGAGAAAACAAACCCTTAAAAACACACTATGGTGTAACCAGGTGACATACAGTGCTGTACAAATTCATTTTTGTTCAAAACTGCCATTAATTTCATGTTCTTCACTTTTCAGCGTCAGGAAAAAAGCAGAAAACATTTAACAGAAAATGACAAAGAACAACAACTAAATATATTATGAAACGTTTCAGCATTTCCTGTGTCCACGCTTTGCTTTTATTAGGGATGTTTTTCCACACCTTCAAAGTTCAGTCTTAGAATTTGGTTGAATTTTCTGCTTCTCACAATCCAAATAATCCCAAACACATTCAGTGATGTTGAGGTCTGGACTCTGGGGTGGTCAGTCCATTGTTCTGAGAACACCAGTAGACAGTCAGTCAGTGAGTCAGCCAGGTAGTCTGAAAGGTAGTGAGTGAGTCAATCAGAAAAGCAGTTAGTGAGTCAGTCAGTCAGGTAGTCAGAAAGGCAGTATGTGAGTCAGAAAGTCAGTCAGTATGTCAGTCAGGTAGTCAGAAAGGCAGTATGTGAGTCAGACAGTCAGTCAGTGAGTCAGTCAGGTAGTCAGAAAGGCAGTTATTGTGTCAGACAGTGAGTGAGTCAGTCAGGTAGTCAGGAAGGCAGTTAGTGAGTCAGACAGTCAGTCAGGTAGTCAGTAAGGCACTCTGAGTCGTCAGTCAGGTAGTCAGGAAGGCAGTTAGTGAGTCAGACAGTCAGTCAGGTAGTCAGTAAGGCACTCTGAGTCGTCAGTCAGGTAGTCTGAAAGCGAGTTACTGAGTCAGACAGTCAGTCAGTCAGTGAGTCAGTCAGGTAGTCAGAAAGGCAGTTAGTGAGTCAGACAGTCAGTCAGCTCATCAGGAAGGCAGTTAATGAGTCAGACTGTCAGTCAGTGAGTCAGTCAGGTAGTCAGATAAGCAGTAGGTGAGTCAGACAGTTAGTCAGTGAGTTAGCCAGGTAGTCAAAAAGGTAGTAGGTGAGTCAGACAGTCAGTCAGTCAGCCAATCAGGTAGGCAGGAAGGCTGTTAGTGAGTCAGTCAGGTAGTCAGAGTCAGTGAGTCAGTCAATCAGTCAGTCAGTCAGTCAGAGAGTCAGACAGGTAGTCAGAAAGGCAGTAGGTGAGTCAGACAGTCAGTCAATGAGTCAGCCAGGTAGTCAAAAAGGTAATAGTTGAGTCAGATAGTCAGTCAGTGAGCCAGTCAGGTAGTCAGGAAGGCAGTCAGTGAGTCAGTCAGTCAGTCAGTCAGTCAGAGAGTCAGTGAGTCAGTCAGTCAGAAGCCAGGTCCATGAGGTGCTCTAAAACCTGTCTGCCGCATAAATGTTTCCTGACTGAATTCTATTATGAGTGAGTTTTGAAACAATGGGTCTGGTTCATTTCTAATCACAGGAAAACGGGTAGAAATTATAGTCTGTGGTAATTAATAATGCAATACAGTGAGAGAGAGCAGAGGGAAATACGGTTAAAAATGCTGGAGTATTTCTTTAACTAGAAAAAAGGGAAGCACAGTTGTGCCACAGTGCATTAAAATCTGAAGGCAATTTCCCCAGAGCCTGGAGAATTGCAGGCTATGAGAGCTATGAATGATTAATAATGTTTCAAAGGCACATGCATGTTTTTCTTGAGGAGCAGTCCAGCACAGCAGTCCAGCACAGCAGTCCTTAAGACAAGCACATTTCACAAAAGAAAGAAAGATTTTAAATAGATTCCTGTGCATTCATGCACAAGCTTAGCAGCATAGAGGTTCAAAAACTCTGTATGCAAGCAAATAAATTAATTTTATAAAATGCTAAAATCTGATTGGCTGAGTCACGATTGAAGCTGCTGTAAAATGGAGCAGTAAGCCACAAGAGGCTGTGCATTACAGTGATTTTACCACTGGGTAAGGCAGGCAGAGCAGACATACACACATACAGTACTGTGCAAAAGTCAGAGACCACCATTTATTTATTTGCCAATTAAAATGACCATTAAATACAAGTTATTTATTTTTCAGAGGATTGTTCTAAGGAGATCCACTTGCGTAAAGAAAGGAGGAAGTCAAAGTGAAAAGTTCTTAAAACTGGGACTTCAAAAAATGATGAAAAGATACAGGTAAAATGGGACCCCTAACAACCGTGCAAGACCTTGTAGACGACCAAAACTGATCTTTAAATTTCCATTCCACCTTAAATGCAGCAGTTACATGCTAGCACCCGTACTCAGTTACAGTCAGCAAACCAGGGCTGCACCACTTGAGGTGAGGGCTGCTGGTTTAACCCCTACTTCTTATATGTGTGACTTTATACATCAGGTCATAGTAACCAGCAACACAATCAGCCTACTGGGAATTCTCCCGACTCTCCCAATTACCCACTCTAGCACTGCTTGTGACTACTTTGTGTAATAACACAAAAGGTAGCTTATAGAAGCTTTTAGATGGATGAATCTGGATTTGGCAGACGCCAGAAGAACCCTACCTACTGGGATGCATAGTGCCCACAGTGAAGTTTGGTGGAGGAGGGATAATGGTTTCTGGTTCTCTACCACTGTGAATAATTCTGATTTGGTAAGTTTCTCTAGAACGGAGCATTTCACATCAAACCAATCCGAATGCCTTTGTTTACATCTTAACAGTTTAATTACCCAGAAATGTTGAAAAATTAGCCCAATTCACCTATAAAATCACTGTAATGAATGGCCTCCCATGGCTTATAGCTTCAATGTAAGGCAAGGCAAGTTTATTTATATAGCACCCTTTAAACACTGCTGTCATTCAAAGTGCCTTACAAATTTAGAGTCAGAGTTGCATAAAAAAGTAAGGTAAGCGCAAAAAGAAAAACATAAAAAAAAAACATTAAAAACATAATTAAAACATGGAACGTTACATTTAAGAGAGAAAATCATAAAATTAAAAATCAAAATGGAAATTAATTTAGCATAGAAAATATATATTTTTTTTAAAAATTGCCATTACAGAGGAAAAGAGGCCTAGAAATGCTAACAGTGTTTAAACTGAGCTGAAAGCTGCTCAAACAGGAAGGTTTTGGCAGGACTAACTGACCAGTTCCTAATGATCTGAGAGTTCTGCTCAGCTCATATCTCTGCAACATATGAATATGTTGGTCCTGCACCATTGAGCGATTTTCAGACCAGTAATAATATACATACATGCAAACATCATCTAAACCGCTTATCCTTCTGGGTCGCGGTGGGGTGCTGGAGCCTATCCCAGCTGTCATTGGGCAGAAGGCAGGATACACCCTGGACAGGTCGCCAGTCCATCGCATAATTTTACCCGCACTATCACAAAAAAGGCCAGTTATGCAACTGGAACCAATCTGGACTACTTTTTTGCGACTATATTTTCAAAAAAATCATTTCTTTTTAGGCCTAGTCATCCATTGTTTTTCTCAATTGTCTGTAATATTTGTCTTAGATACACCCTTTCTGAGGGTGGACCAACAGTGGCATGCAGTCATCAAGCCAGCGGACCGATATATGCTTGCTATCTGGATAGTGCTAACATTACCTTTAGCTGTTATCATACAGAACTTGATTGTGTTGCCCCAGTGGTACACTTGCACCTTTAGCTAAAATTAATTGCCTAACATCCATGGCTGGAAGTATTGCTATACTAACTTATGGAAAATTATGTGAGATGAGCCCAAAAACAGCCCAACACAGGATCTAAAGTCAGTCAGTTAGCTAGCTAACAAGCTTGCTAACTGACTTAATTCTGTTAGTTAGCTACTGTTTGTGTGGGTGGTGGGGGGTGTAGCAGAAGGGGTGAAGCAGAAGGGGTGAGGCAGAAGGGGTGGGGGTGAGGCGGAAGGGGTGGAGGGTGATTGGCAACTTCACAGTGTCCCCCCAAGTTCCGAAACAAAAACCGTGCCCTTGTGCTCAACCTAAATGCGTTTCATTTCTTTGTGCAGGTGATGATGTAAAGACGGCCGCTCATCCAGACAGTGAAGTCTGAACTTTGGAAATAGTCAGAGTTCCCCTCAACACACTCCTACGGAAGATGATGAGCCAGGATGAGTCAAAATCACGCCCAATGCAGTGAGCACTCTCTCTCACACTCTCTCTCTCTCTCTCTCTCTCTCCATATTCTACATGCTGGTAGCTCACAGTCTGGTATACACCTTCATCTGAGTCTATGAAACATTTGGCATGCCTGCTCTTTCCTGACCAAATTTAAGTTAGGATTGTAAAAATGCTTGCAATCACCAGCTGTTTTGGGTCAAGAACCACAACAGTGCTCATTTTTCCAAGCCCAAATTTCCTGTGTGTATCTGGAATGGCTCACTATCCAAAATACGTCAAGTCAGTGGCAGATTAGCTGTGGAACATGGCTTACTGATGAGATGAAATGTGATCAAGGATTCCTGATTGGGGAAACTGTCTAGGTGTTGGCCCTCTCACTGTGGGAATCCCTGGCAATTATGGCTGGACCAAATAATTCAAATAATCCAGCATTTGTTCTCTAGGTTGGTATTCAATCCTCTGTTTAGTCAGAAACTTGTATTTCCAGACACAAAAAGCAGTAACAACAACACACACCATCAAAGGCCTTTAAAGGAAACAGTTACTCTTAATATGTGGAAAATGTTAAAATTAAATAAATTATAGCTGGTTTACTTGAATGCATCATAAATCCATGCTGGGCACCCACATCACCTTTGCTTTAGAGCGCAACAAACTGCACCACTTTTCAGTGGTCATTGCAGAGCAAAGACGTCTGAGAAATTTTAAATTATAAAAAATCCTAGTAAAAGCAATAGGGTTCCATACACCTGCGGTGCTTGGACCCCTAATTAAGAAAATGCTCAGTGCAGAGTTTACAGTAAAAAGCACAAGAATTTTGATAAACCATCTCAAATATGCAAATATAGTAATCGTTATCCAAGTACCAGTAGTCTCTAGTGGGGAAGGGAATCCCGACACTACTATCTCTTGGGTGAATGGTAAACTAGCCAACTAAAAAAACTTGATAAAATAAATAAAAGCAAATAATTATAATTAAAACTAATATCATGGTGGTGATAAACAACATGATAATTCTAACTCATTACACACTTAGCGTCTACATCATAATTGCCTCACACTCTCTGGGTACGTGGGCCTCTCTTTCCCCACATCATTTAGCGCAGGTGTCTGTTAGCTGACATAACTGAATCAGCGGTTAGTGTTCTCCTCCAAGCGTGTTGAGCCGGACCAATGACATTGTATTAGCGATAGGTTGTACTTCATGTGACTTGGAGGAAGCACCTGCTAGCCTTCACTCTCTAGCTTTGTGTAATGGGGGACTAGCGAACTAGCCTTGGACGTACGGTTCTAGGAAATTGTTTAATTGTTTAACTCTACTTTATGTAGATGTGGAGGTTCTGCAAACTTTGAAAAGATTCTTCACACGTTTATCTCATCTATTTTTAAAAAAGCATCTACTGAAAGTTTGTTAACGAAAAGTAGTTCTTCTTTAGCATTGCTCCAAAGAACCCTTTTCTGGGAACCTTTTTAAGGGTACAATGTTAGTTAGGCATCTCAGATGTTTTCCATTCTCAGTATGTCCTGTCTTCACATCTCTGTAGTCACACAAATATTTATGGCTGTGCTTTAGGGAGCTGCGGGAGAAGCTGCAGCCGGAGGTGGCCGAGCTGATCAAACAGCAGAGACTGAACCGGCTGTGTGAAGGCACCTGCTTCAGAAAGATCAGCACCCGCCGCAGACAAGGTGAACCACCTGCCAGGCTCATCCGTGCATCACAATTACATCACTGATAACCACATTCTGTCCCTTTTTACCACAAGTAAAAATAATGTAGGGATGCGCAAGCTTAGGATGTGGACCAGAGGGCCTTAAAGAATGCAGTTGTGAGCTGATCTGGTCACTGTGCGAAAATATAAAGAGCTAGGCATGATCTAAATGAAATATCTCATTAATACTGAGACATTAATACAAAGACACCACTTATGCAATATGCTATGTTGCTTTTTAGAGATGTTTTCCAACATAAAGTGTTCCATAACAAAGGCTACGTTCACATTACAAGCCTCAAATCCGATCTCTCTGACACAGTGGTTCACACTTGTTTCAGTAAGTGATTCAAATCTGTCATTAATATGAACAAATCGGCGTCCTGAAATGACCCGCATGCGCACATCCTACTCAGCAACGTCACCTGAATGAATCACATGCATCATCAGCAAACAAACTAACGAGCAGAACGAGCTTCGCTGTGAAGATAATTAACTCTGATCAGCTCTCAGCTGTTCATTATTAGAGAGAGATGAAGGAGAAAAAAGGTGGGATGTGTTGCTTTTCCACCATTTACAGGCTTTAATTTCTGTTCGGCGCTGCTGCCAGAGTAACTGAATGATGGCGCACGCTCAGTGGAAAAAAAGCACATGAATTCCGATCTGAGCTTTCATGTTAAGGTCACATGGTCACGAATCAGATACGTATCCGATCAAGGACCACATATGAAAGTGGCTCAGATCGGATTTGAAAAGATCAAATTTGAGTGTCCACACAGCTCTGAAAACATCAGATCTGAGTCACATTAGGGCAAAAAATTGGATTTGTGCCACTTTAATCTGGTAATGTGAACGTAGCCTAAGGTCGCATGGCCACGAATCAGATACGTGTCTGATCTAGGACCACATATGAAAGGCTACGTTCACATTACTAGGTTGAAGTGGCACAAATCCGGCACAAATTTTTTGCCCTAATGCAACTCAGATCTGATGTTTTCAGGGCTTTCAAATCTGACCTGAGCCACCTTTAAATGTGGTCCTAGATCGGATATATATCCGCTTCGTGGCCTTAATGTGAACGCTTAGATCTGAGTTAATTATCTTCAGCGAAGCTCGTTCTGCTCGTTAGTTTGGGCTGATGATGCACATCATTCACAGATTTGTGCCACTTTAACCTGGTAATGTGAACATAGCCCATGTGACCTGTGTATGATTTTTAGAATATGCAAAAGGTTGGCACTTAAGGATCTGAGAGTGTGACGCTACAGTCACTTATGAAATCATGAGCAAATATGAAGCAACAATGTATTTGCACAAAAATAACTAGTACAGAATATATTAACTAGAATGCAAAGTTGGCTTGCTGAAGTTTTTTATAATAGAATTAGAATCAGAATCTTTACCGGAGATGAAAATTAATAGATTTACAATAGCTTTAAAACAGAACATGTCTAGCTTGTCAATTTAAAGAGCTTCATTATTATTGTACTGTCAAAACGAAAAAGAATCTTTTTTCCCTCAAAATTTTAAGAACGCAGTCTTCCTCTATGATTTGGCAGTCGTAGCTCAAAACCTCAGTCCAGCTGGTTTTTACGAGATAGTGGAGGGATGAAAGAAACAGCTGCAGGATTAGACAGATAAGCGCTATCAATATGTGCTTTTGGTCATCAGTTGTGTTGCTCTTCAGAGTTTGCTGGCTCCAGCTTGGAAATGAAGGATCAGCTTGGAAATGAATATCAACGGGTTTCTGAGAGAGGGATGAAAGAAATGCAGTCGTGCTTCAGGTCATTCAGTTTGGCGTTTGTAGCTCAAATATAGCAGTAAAATCAGTGGGTTCCAATCAGAAAACTGAGCAAGAAAAAAGGATAAAATGCTAAACAAATCATATCAATATAATGTGCAGTTTGGGTCAGGAGTCCGCTGATATTATTGGCTATCTAAGCTAACCCATTACCTTACAGTAGAGTGGGTGAGCTAAATTATAACTCATAAAACAGGACACTTCTTAGCTAAATTAGCTAACAAACACTGGGGTGACCATATACATCCTCTTTTTCTGACCTAAAAACCATGTCTGGCATGTTTTACACATATGTGATAACACATAATCACAACTGCATACTTCTGAGCTAAATTAGCAAGCTAACACTCACAACTAGATGCTTCCAAGCTGAGCTAGCTAGCTAACACTTTCTCACAACTGGACACTTCTGAGCTGAATTAGCTAGCTAATACATGCTAGCAACAGAATATTTAAGCAACAACAAAAAATGGTTTGTGTTTGTGTTATTTTAAAATAAAAAAAGAAGAAAAGAAAATGGCAAAAACTACAGTAATTATTTAGTTAGAAAAGATTAGTTAGCCGTAGTTAGCCAACCAGTTTATCAAGTTGGAAGCTGAGATTTTTTTTTCTTTCATTGAAATGAAAACAGTCTAAACATTTTTTTTAAAAAAGTCTACAAATGTAATATTTTATAAGAAATCAACTCACTTTTATTTAATTATACCTAAAAAGTACTGTTAAATTGAAGCAACTTGATTCCTATGAGATGAAAAGTAATGAATGAAAAAGAGTAAATAAAAATAGTGTGAAAAACAGTTTTTTTATTTATTGTGAAAATGGTAGAACTGCTGGTTGTGACTTTGAAACTGTATAAAATAGTTTTACAGGAAAAACAGCAGGTTAACTTTCATGGTACCAAATACACACACTACACGCTTAATTGCAGTACTGTACGTATCCTGGATGACAGGCAGTATAGGGCCAATTCTGGCTTTTATATGTGAGTGTTGACCATCGTGCAAATGTTAGGCATACTGGCCGGAATAGGACCAGATCCTGGAAAACTTCATACAATTTTGCCTCAGGTCGATATTTGTGGACCAATTCTGGCATGAATGTTGCGGACCAACAGTGTAGTTGGGCCAGATTTGGGCCACATCTATTAGTTCTACTTACTTTACAGTGTGTGGGCCAGATCTGGGCCGAGGACCCAGCCGTATACCTGACCAGAACAAACACAAGGATGTGGCCCACTAGTGGGCCAGACAAATTTTGCTAACTGGGTATAGATTGATCATCCATAACATTAAAACCACCTCCTTGTTTCTACACTCATTGTCCATTTTATCATCTCCACTTACCATATAGGAGCACTTTGTAGTACAATTACAGACTGTAGTCCATCTGTCAGTGTCACTGCAGTGCTGAGAATGATCCACCACCCAAATAATACTTGCTCGTTGGTGGTCCTGTTGGGACCTGACCATTGAAGAACAGGGTAAAAGGGGGCTACAAAAGTATGCAGAGAAACAGATGGACTACAGTCTGTAATTGCAGAAGTACAAAGTGCTCCTATATGGTAAGTGGAGCTGATAAAATGGACAATGAGCGTAGAAACAAGGAGGTGGTTTTAATGCTATGGCTGGTCAGTGTATGTCAGTATGTTGTATCTTTCTCTTTCACTTTAGATAAATTTTGGTATTGTCGTCTGTCGCCAAACCACAAAGTACTGCACTACGGGGATGTGGAGGAGTTCTTACAAGGGCAGATACCCCATGACTCTCTACCGGAGAAATGTGAGTCCCTTAGGTCTTGTTTGAGTAATTACAGATACATTGTGTGTATTTAAATAAAGCCATCGTTCAGCAAAAAAATCAAATTTACATAATGTCTTCCTTATCCAAGTGAAATTGATCTGGCTTCTGACACAGTATGACACAGGATAAAAGCACTATTGCATAGCTAAAAACATTTACTTATATCAAGGACTGAATTTTGTCCATATTTTTGTCCAATTCTACGGTAAACAATATTTCATACAGTGTCAGAAACCACATAAGCAAGTCTGTTTGAGGTTACTTAACAACTCAACGCAATTTAAGGCAAGTAATGATTTAGACATGCAGTTTGCTTGACGTTAATTACTTGTTAGCTACATTAGCCTTATAGCTCCAAATATGTCTTAACTGATTGGCTACTTTTTGTGCAAGGATAAAATTGTGTCAATCAGATTTTTGGCTGAACAATCGCTTTAAACAGCTTAACACAAGATATATTGTGGGGACCTGAAGCTTTTCTCATTAGATTTTTTTAGATGCTGTACTTGCAGTGTAGGATTCAAAGAGCACATCTGTATAGAATGTATAGTATGTGGCCAAAAGTATGTGGACATATCTCCTAATGAAGGTGTTTCAGCTACAGCTATTGTTCACAGGTGTATAAAATAGACGCATAGCCATGCAATTTTTGCCTCAAGTCAGTTTGGGAAATTTCTGCCCTGCTAGATCTGCCCCAGTCAACTGTAAGCACATTTTTTGTGAAATAAAAGCATCTAGGAGCAACAACAGCCACACAGCGGTAGACCCCGCAAACTCATAGAGCGATGCTGCCAAAAGCTGAAGTGCGTAGCGCACAAAAATTCTCTGTTGCGTCACTCACTACAGTCTTCCAAACTGCTTCTTGAAGCAGCATCAGTAAAAGAATTATGCATTGGAAGCTTCATGAAATAGGTTTCCATGGTCGAGCAGCTGCACACAAGCCTAAAATCACTATGTGCAATGCCAAGTGTTGGCTGGAGTCATGTAAAGCACGCTACCACTGGACTCTGAAGCACTGGAAATTTTTCACTAGGCTTATGAATCAGGCTTCACTATCTGTCATTCTGATAAATGAATCTGGGTTTGGTGGTTGCCAGGAGAACACCACCTCCCGGAATACAAAGCTCCAACATGAAGGTTGGCGGCGGAGGGATAAACCATAAGACATGGTTTGACAAGGAGAGGAACTGGAGAGACTCCAGTGGCCTGCACAGAGCCCTGACCTCAACCCCACTGAACACCTTTGGGATGAATTGGAACTTTGACTGTGAGCCAGGCCTTCTTGTCCAACATCAGTGCCTGACCTCACAAATGCTCTTTGACTGAATGGGCACAAATTCTCACAGACAGACTCCAAAATAATGTGGAAAGCCTTCCCTGAAGAATGGAGGCTATTACAGCTGCAATGGGGGAAGGGCGACAACTCCATATTAATGTCCATAGTTTTAGAATGCAAACTGCATCAAGGTCATGTAGGTGTGATGGTGAAGTGTCCACATACTTTTGGCTAAATAGTGTATGTCAGTCTTAAATGCTCAATAACAAAAACAGTTGAAGCAAACACTATAAACGAACCTCAGGGACAAAAATAAAACAGAATAAGAATATAGGATATTGGCCTTTTAACACAACAGACATCATGAGAGCTCATAGCATTCCTCATTAGTTTTTCACATCCTGTCCCCGCAATGTGTGATTCAAAGAGCACATCGTCACTGTCCAAAGGAAAACAAGTGTCTCCAAAATAGTAACTTTACAGGAGAAAGCAAAAACACTCTTAACTTTCAATGTAAGTTAATGTAAAGAGATTTTATTTCCGAGTGATTTTAGAGCATTTCTATTGGTCCATTCATCATGAAATTTTCACACAACATAAAGGACAGCTGGTGTGTTAAAATGATGTAGAAAAATAAAAATCGACAAAAATGGAGATACATGGTTTTCAGTGGACAGCGACGACATGTATGTAGAATGTTAATAGCACTATGCATGCTAACAGGATCCATCTCCTCATGTGTCTCTTCAGTAGCAGTAGCAGATATCAAGGCGCTGATAACTGGGAAAGACTGCCCTCATATAAAGGAGAAAGGAGCGCTAAAGCAGAATAAGGTATATTTGCACAACACTGGAATCTAAAAAACAGTTCGGTTCAGAATTTTGAGGGTTGAAGATGTGCATAATAAAAAAACATTTTGGAATCATGGTTAAAAATGTATTTGCTACAAAACCAAGTACACATATACAATTGATTCTATGATGCTGGAACTCTACAGCTTCAAAGCTTTCAAATAACTAGTAGCCAGCTGTAAAACATTTTGAAGAGTCAATAATTAAGAACAGAGCTGTAGATTTTCTAAAATGGCAGAGAAGGCACTGACAATAATAATAGCAACAAAAAAAGGAATATCCAGAATCTCTGATATTTGAAAAAGGTAGTGATTAAATTGAAACCTTACACTGGTAACAATCTGAATGGTCTTTTTCTTCTTCGGCATGGAAAATACAACATCCAACATTTCTATAAACAACTGATTCATCAGACCACAATCCACATTCCCACTGTGCATCAATCCATTTCAGATGCGTTTGAGCCCAGAGAACTCGGCAGTGTTTCTGGATGTAGTTGACATAAGGCTTCCACTGTGCATAGTAGAGTCTTAATGTGCATTTGTGGAGTGCAGATATGAGCCGTGTTTATACATAATGGTTTATCAATATATTCCTGAGCTCATGTGGTGATTTCACAGCAGTCATTACATGCAATTTCCACCTGATTTAGAGTCCCTCAGTTTTTGTGCTTTGCATTTTTTTCTTCAACAATGTTGGTGGAATATATTTGGAAACATATGGTCACATGGAAACGTGTATGATTGATGATGAAACATGTATGATTTACAAAACTGGAAATGAGCTGGATTTTGATCTTTGTAGGTAAACAAGCACATCAACATTTGAAGACATTTTGTTGCATTCAAATGCTTTTTATTATGGCATTTATTCATCGTTTTCTAATATAAAGAAAGGTGTAGTCGTGCTGTCCATTTTATCTTGACACGGCTGTCTTAGTGGAGAGATGTGAATTGTTTTCACAGCAGGGGGTTCTCGCCCCTCCTCTTTCACCCTCCGTTGCTCGCTAGCAGCTCAACATAGTCAAATTTCACACACAGAGAGCCAACAGTGTCCTAATTAATCTGATAAAAGAGTTACAAGGAATATATTCAAAAATATTTTATTTGATCATATTAATTCAAAATGTCTACCTGGATTGTGGGGTTAACACAATGCCTTCTGAAGGATTGAGGGCCACAGGCATCCAGTTGTGGTTCTCGGCTTTGGCCTTTACACCTTTACACCTTGCCCTTTACATCCAGAGTTTTCTCTGGATTTCCTGAATCATTTGTTGATATTATACACCACAGAGGGGAAAATACCTGAATTCCTCGCAAACCCTCATTGAGGAACACTGGGCCTCGTTCACCAGCCATTCTGAAAAAGAAATTTCTTATTAAACCCCACTTATGCAGCTTTCACAAAGACATTTACCAGTGTTTTCTTATTTGGTATTTTTTCTTAGGTATGAACAGAATCTACACACCCTCAAGTTGCAAACAGTTCTGCGGTTTGAGAACACGTCAGGAATCTGATGTAGAGTTTTTCGTAAGACCTTTCTCACGAACAAATTTAAGAAAAAACTTGAGGGTCAATGTTCCTAACTTGCTGGATTATTTGTTGATGCATATTTGGCAACGTGGTGAGCGTCGACCCATTCTTTCTCATAAAAGACTAGGCCTTTGCTGGATGCTCCTATATATTCAAGCATGTTTGCATCACCTGTTTGAGATGTTTTATGAACATTCCTAGTCTTAAAGTGCACCTGATGGCACAGGGAACAAAGCTTTTGCTAAAGCAAGCCCTTCTGTACCTTAATGTCCGATGAAGTGAAGTGACATTACAGAGCGTTGTCTTGGTCCGTTATAATTGTGCATGCTTTCCATGTCAAGTTCCAGCAGGTTTGGACTGGGGAGGTGATTGATTTTGGCACCTGTATGTGAAATTTTGATGAAACAGTCATGATTTTTATCATTCTGCATGTTAAACAGTATTGGTTCAATGATACTGTGATATAAATTTGTGAATGCCATTGTTGACAGCGTTTGTGAGCGTTTAAGATGTGTTGCTTGAAGCTTATGTTATTGTTCCAAGTACATGAAAACCTCAACCATCCTGTTAATAGGTAACAGTTTGTGATACAGTGTCAGGAACATAAGCAAAGTTATTTGAGATTACTTAACAAATCAACACAGTTTGAGGCAAATGTGCGATGATTTAGGAATGTTTTTAGCGCAATGCTAACTGGTGAGTTTAAGCTTCTGTTAGCTAGGTTAGCCTTGTAGCTCCAATGCAAAAGTGTCGAAGTAAACTTTGGAAACAGGCCATGGCTGATGGACAATGCTGGAGTAGTTACTGAAGAAAAGTATTCCATTACAGATGACTTATTACTTCTCCCAAAGGATTTACCAGGCTTTACTGAAAAATCCCACTACTCTTTACTTTACTTCTACATTACTCTCTAAAACCTTGGGCTGTTCGATTCCAAGTGCCAGGAACTGATGAAGTCGATTCCACACAATAATCTCAATTCCAAAAACCAAAAAATAGAGAAGGACATCTGGCAAACATTAAGAGGACAATATTAGTTTATATTTACCATAGCTAATACTAGCTAATTTATCTTATCTGAATAACGGAGGTTGGCTAAATTTGACCTGATTCTCTTGTTCAACACAGTTTTAACACTAAATGGTCTTAAATGTTGGAGTTAATATAGCCTTTATCTGCTAATTCACCGACCTTTGACGCTGAAGGTTGGCATGCAGACTGCTAGTCACCGTAGCAATGCAGACAACAATCTCGCCTAGCTAGTAGCTAACGAAAAGGCAAAGAAAAAGATTTAAGATGAACATGAATAATTTGGAGACAAATGGACTTACTTGCGTTTATAATCACTCCAGCTGGTTTCCTGATACGTTTAATCTGCAAGGAGCAACTGTCAAACACTAAAAAGTCACAAAGCTGAAGTCTGATTCTTGTTCTAAATTTCTCGTTTTAAAAATCAAGCTGACTTCAACTTCGCAAAAAAATCGAAAGTTAAAAAGACATTTTACAAAAACTGTTCCAATTTTGGAACAGTTGCCTGCCGGAGATGCAAGAAAAGCGGCTATAGCTGAGCTAAAGCTTAAAGCAGAGCAAAGTAAGTCTGCATTTTTCCATTTATGTTATATTGTTTAGCCTATACTAGTACATTAACACATACTGAGACAAATTTACTGCCAAGATGGTAAAATGGACATAAAATATTGTGGCTCACAAGGTGGTTTGACTTTTGCTGAAAGAACAAAATGCCTCTTCTTAACATTTAGGTTGCGACCCCAGAGCTAGACTATCTATGCGTGAGTCATGGAAGACTACATTTTCATGCAGACTGTCTAGACCAGAGTTTCTTAACCTTTTTGACCTGAGGAACCAAATGAAAGAAACTGGCACCCAAGCAGAAAACTATTACTCCACCAAGTTTTAAGAAGTGGCTCTACATTAACAGCACAGCTCAAGCTCTGGTTTCAGCAGTGGAGAAATATTGGTTATTTGCTGGTTTTTAATGCTCAGAGCTTTGAGGTGAAGCCTCATCAGTGTTACTGCTGTACAAATCAATTTTTTCACTCTGAGATGAATTCATTGAGCAGTAACGCCGACGAAGTTTAATCTCAGAACTCCAAGCATTCAAAATGAGCAAATAAATTACAAGAGTAAACAGGAGAGCATAGCTCTAATTGCTCAGTCTGCTTATTAATGCATCCACACAAATCTAACTGGGGGCGTTTAAAGTTTTACACAGCCTTGAATATGAGACTGTATGAATATGCATGTGTACATTTTTAAAAAAACATTTTCTGCACTTTGTTTGTCTGTAAAAAGAAATCAGACTCTGTGTGAAAAGGCCTTAAGCTCACCACACATTTTGTGCTTCTAGCTCAAAAGCTGCTACAGTATAACTTCTCACCTGACCTTGTTGAAACCTTCCCAACTCATTCGGCTCTCCCAGGGAGTGACTTGGGAGGTCACATACAATGGTGACAGGTCTGCCATCTGGTTTGGCACCTCACCTGCAGAAAAAGTGCTAATGGGGACAGTAGGAAGGCTGAGGTCACACTAAGAGGCCTATCGTGAATTCATTACTGCTCTGCTTCTTTCTAGGAGATGCCAGAGCTGGCTTTCTCTGTCCTATATGAATCAGACGAATATTTGAATTTCATCGCTCCTGACAAGCATGAGGTAACTTTTATACACGTCTGTGTTACTCATTTACAATATTCAACTGACGAGTACCAACCTAAACTGCTTAGAGGAAATGCAGTTTCAAGAACTACTTCAGTGCTTTTCAACCTAATCTCTATCTGCTGCTTCTGCAGGGCACAGTGGTTTTCCATAGAGGACAATTTTGACGTACCTTAAAAAGAACAGGACACACATTGACAAAAGGAAAATTTTAATAGAAGCCAAAGGGCAGTTGCTGAATTCCATGAATATCATGAATATAATCGCATGAAAGCATTTGTGACGCTTCATCCTGCCTTATTTTAAATTAAAAAAAAAAAAAGAGTAGTTTGCTTATATGGTCAGTAAATAAGTGAACATGATTTACAAGCAATCATTCAATAAATGTCAAACTAGATATCTTACAACTGCTAAATGCTAAACAGTACTGCTAACTAGGAGAGAGGAGATGGTTAGTATTAGCTTAACTAGCATGATAACAGCTCTGCTCACCACAGAACATGTTCAATTCTGGCTAGCTAAAGCATAAACACACGTTTAGATGATCATGATTCAAATCTGAGGGAGTGAATTGAAGCAACTGGCACTGAAGGAACAGAAATGTGAAATTAGACCTGTTCTGTGGTGTCAGGATCTGTAGCCAATCAGCTAACTTAATGTTAGCTTAGCTACAGGCTACAGACCCAAACAGTGCCACCCACCACAGTACATGTTCCATTCTGACTAACTACTGCTTTACTACAAGTTTAGATGATAAATGATTATGTCTGAGAGAGAAAAAGTCGAGTGACCGGTGTCGGACTGACAGAAGACCAAACTCAAACCTGTTCTGTGGTGATTTGGGCTGTAGTGTTTTGGCTAAGCTAACAAGAGCTTAGTTAGCAGCCCAGTTTGGCCACACAGCATAGGCTTTTTCCAGCTAACTTATACTAAAGTGTCACCCATTTAGAGGATATCTTCGAGCGCAAAGTTGAGTGACTGGTAAGTAAAAGCTGAAAGTGTTCTCTGGTGTGTGTAGCTTTTAGCCTGAGGGTTTTTTCTGGATTTCTGATTTTTTACCTCTTTCTACTAGTGCAACCTTTCCCACACACCAGTCAGTGACCCCTCCATTAAAATAAATGGGTAGAATGTGTTTGTTTAGCCGTTCAGACATGGAATAGAAATTTGAAATGTCATTATTTTTAAATACAATCATAATTTTTTGAATTATATACTCACATTTCAAAGGCTTTACATTCACATCATTTTCAACTTCTCATTGGCTTCTGTTAGAAGTCATTTTTGAGGCAAAGGATTTTCTGTTTAATGAAATGATGGTCTGTTGCAAATTATGGTCTGTTGGAATTTTGGGCCCTCTGCCTCACTTCATTTGCCTTAGCATAAATGCCAAAATGTGCCAAATTTTCATAATAACCCATTTTGTTGTAGCTCAGTTCTTTCTTTCACAGTGTTGTCACTTCTCAATATAAGCAATATTACTGTGTATGATTATACTGTATACACTCCTGTGCAAAAAAATGGGCCAAGTCCAAAATACTATGGCTTAAACTGATGGTTTTGGCCTGGTCAGAGTCCAGATTCAAACCCTATAGAGAACATTTGATCTTATATTAAACATGAATTAGCTTGGAATTGTTTTCCAACTGTTTGAAGCCATTAATGCTGGGTGGAATAATGCTAACTTTCTCTCTCCCATATTAACTTTATCTATTTGTTTAATTCTTGCTAATTTACTGACCAATGATTTATTGTTAAGACCATTGAAAGGTTAATGTTTTGTCAGTTTGGGCTTGGCCCATTGTTTTTGCACAGGATTGCACTACTGGCTGAAACTAATAACAGACCCAAACTCAAACGCTTCAATAGCTTTTTTGACTAGTATTGGATAGATACGTTATTCAAACCCATTAAAATCTCCACAAACAACCTGGATCAAGAATTTTAGTCGTGTAATAATGGAGATATTCTGGTTTAAATTCATACTTTATCCAGGCCAAAAGGAGAACAAGGGGAGGCTAGAGAGTCAACTACAGTTACTTACTTTTTTAGTGGCATCTTCATTTCCATTAAAAAAGGAAATTGGCCGTGACTGGGCTAAACCACTGGACGTTTACTAAGAGGAGCCCACTGGTTGTGAGAAATTGCTATTGGCACTGTATCTAAAACTCGTCTTTAATTATTATATAAGGATTGAAGCGTTTCAGAAAAGAATCTTTCAGTAAGCCAAAAATCGCATGAAAGTTTCAAACTTTGTGGGCTCCTGTCTAACTGGGAATTTTTATAAGGGAATTTTTATGTATTGCATAAAAATGGTTATTACATAACCATTTTTATGCAATACATTTCTGTGGTGTAGCTTTTAGAGGCATTAAACTCTGCAGACGTCTGGTTCCCATCACCACCACTAACAAATCTGACTGTAGAACAGAGCATTTTGCACCAACCCACTCTGAATGACTTTACATCTGATACAGATAAATATTAGGTTGAAAACACTCCAACTGAGAAGTTAATCCACTGTTGCTTCATACTGCTTCATTTCTCTAATCATATTCTGCTTTTTTCCACTTTTGCCATGCTCAACCTCATCACAAGTACTGCGTCTGGACTGACGGCTTGAACGCGCTATTGGGGAAAGAGATGACGAGCGATCTCACCAAGTCAGACATGGACACTCTGGTTACGATGGAGATAAAGCTCCGCCTACTGGACCTTGAGAACATTCAGGTTCCTGAAGTCCCTCCTCCCATCCCCAAAGAGCCAAGTAATTATGACTTTGTTTACGACTACACCCAGCACACCCAGCAGCAGACTTGAGAGTGGGCTAAAGGGTTTCTGTAGCATTTCTCTTTATTCTCTATGAAACTCTGGTCTGGGGACAGCAAGACGACAAGCTATAGTGTCTCCGTTTCATGGCATATCTAAAGGATTTGGCCTGAATGCCATGACTGACTTCCGAACCTTCTCACAGATTGTGATTAGAATGTGTTGGTTTAGTTTGTTTTCTTGAAAGAAGCTCCCCTATTATATGGGTCATTCTCCATTTGGAGTGGGAATTCAGGTGGATACATTTTTTAAAAATCTGTTTCTTTCATCCCAGAACTAAATCTTGATATGTCCATTAACATCACCTATTATCATATGTGCAAAAAGGAGCTTAATTCCAAACAAATCTTACAGTCACTGGTGTTATATGAATGTGGTGTAACACCAGTGACTGTGACTCCAGGATTTTGTAAATTGGCTGACTCATTGGTGGTCAGGTGACCTTGTGCAACTATTTAAAATCAGTAATAAAATGATAATATGGCATTATTTTGACAAACTTTTAATTACCCAGCCATTAAAGCACACAACACAGGTCACACATAGAAGTTCTGTGCTGCCTGATACACAAAATTATTAATAAATTAATGAAATATAGTGAGCAAGTGTGGACTTGCCCTCTCATGCCTTGAGATGCTTCCTCTCTGATGAGCCTCGACCCACAGAAGCTGTTTAATAGAGCTGAAAATACTAAAATAAGTCCTGATGACATCAGTCAGCAAAATCTCTGCGACAAACGAATTTTTCAGATAAAATACAAATTTTTAAAATGTAGTATAACATTAATGATATAAGAAGTAGAGATGGATCTGTTTTATACAAATTCCTAAGATAAACCTCTTAAAAATATTGTTTTATATTAAAAATCGTTTCGCAAATGCAGAAAATTGGGCTTAGGTCAGCTGTGTAAATGTACATACCCTTTTTTGGAGCTGTGCCTAATATTTTAAGCAACCTTTGTGACATGGTTTCCCGTTCCAAATGGAGGACGACCCATATGTTCTGTGAAGGTAAAGATCTCAATAAGAGGATCACTCAAGTTGGAGAAGCTGCCACATTTATTTGCACAGCTAATAAAAAACACTCCAAAAGACATGTGGTGCGACTCTTTTTAGTGTTCATGTTGTAATTAAAATTGTTAATATATAACCCAATCAGCATGTTTCTGTCTTCACTCTCCTCTTTAAAGAAACGGTGGATGTATGGCTCCCCCTACTGTCATATACTCAAAATCAAAATCCACATTTCAAATGCTTCCATTTTACTGTCATTTATCTTTTGTCATAGCTTATTGAAATGAAATCACAATGAGAAATTATAAGGCAATTTCATTTTAAAATACACTTTGTGGCCAAAAGTCTGTGGACACCTGATCATCACACCTATATGAGCTTGTTGGACATCCCGTTCCAAAACCATGGGCATTGATATGGAGTTGCCCCCCATTTGCAGCTACAACAGCGTCCACTCTTCTGGAAAGGCTTTTCACAAGATTTTGGAATATTTTTTTGGGAATTTGTGCTCATTTAGTCAAAAGAGCATTCGTGGGGTCAGGCGCTGATGTTGGACCAGAAGGTCTGGCCCACAATCAACGTTACAATTCATCCCAAAGGTGTTCGTGGGGCTGAGAGATGTTAAGTGGGTGCTAGGCCTGGGCTAACAATGAGTTATTGCCATCCCCAAACTACTTGATAGGTAATTAAAATGACGTGCAACACAATTAATGAGGAAATGGAAGCAGTGCTCTAAGGTAGATGCAGGTACATAAGAGACATGGGCTCAATCCCTTTTCACCCCTTGCCCCTACCACTTAGCCCTTACCCCTCTGTTTTGCGTGTTCACAATTAGGGGTAGGTTGTCCCGATTTTTGTTGAGATAGTGGGATAGGGCGAAGTGTTAGGGCTACATGGCCCTCAAATGGAGGTTTTGCAGAGGCTCACTCCAAAGAGAGTGTTATGAGAAAAAAGAAAAACCAGCAAGATGGCTGAACAAGCAACAAAAGAAACCCACAAATGTAAGAATTTTCTCTGTTAAAAAAAAAATTACAGTGACCATTGGATTATCTTGCCATTTCAATGTATTATGGTCCTTTTCTTCATAACAAGCATAAAAAATTGCTACTAGTATGTTGATGTCTCAGTAGCTAGCTAGCTAAATTTCCCGTTCCACCATAAATAGTAGTTACATTCAGGTGCCTCAGGCATCAGAACATCTGCACCATTTAAGGTGAAACGGGAAAATTAGAACAAGAAGCTGGCGAACAGCTGACTTCAGCTTCATATCACTGAAGAATTAGTGGTGGAAATAATAAATAATTGTGTTATAGCCCCTCTTTGAAGGCATATGATTCCCTAACTGTAACTAAAGCCCAGCAGTGAGGTTGTTGAACTTTACCCTCCTCTGCTATCACTGCAGACTTGCAGGGTCGCCTACAGAGCAGCGCTAGCAGGCTGTTAATAAAGTAATGTTCTTTTTTTATTTGAGGGTCCCATTTTGTAGGGAAAGATTTCAACCACTACAGCTTGTAGCTCAGTTCCAAGGGGCAAGCAGACACTCGAAAACAAGGAGTAAATGTAAAAATAAGAAATGGGATTGGGCCATGGTGTCTGCACTAAGAAGCCACTGTATTAGGTAACTATGTTACAATTCATATCTAAAAGTATATAGTTTACAGGCAGGTAAAGCCATGCAAATGTGTACAACATTTGCATGACAACAAATGAGTACAAGGCACATCCAGATTGAGTGAGATTCTGGTTAGAACAAAAAAAAGCAAAACATTTTCACTGCAAAGTGCATAAAAGAAAAAAATGTGAACCTGATGAAAACACTGTTTTTTAATTTCGTACACTTTGTGTACAATGCAGTGACAATTTACCATCTAGAGCTTATCCTTGAAGCAGTAGGATTTTGATATGTGGTCCATCGCGCATATTCTGTGTATATTCTATGACGTTGTGTTCAGTATTTTCCATGGATGAGGAGAAAGTCTAGTTTTATTTATTTGATCTTCATTAAAGTCTAACCAACATCTCCCTTACTCCGTATGTGCCTAGTGATTTCTCATTTCAACCCTGCCACAGTTTAACACAATACTTGATGACATATTGAGTAACGCAGGGTAAACATACAATTTTGTCAACTGCGGCCTCTTATTTGGTTGCAATTTCATCCCACAGGGACTTCACAAACTGTAAAGGCCGTCGAAGATGTGAAACCGGATCTTCAAGGCACCACTCACATGCTTTACATCATAACAACAGAAGAACTCTTATTAGTGCTATATGGAACCTATTACTAATAGGTTCTATATAGAACCATCTACAGCATATTTTCATTTGATATGCAGAACCATTACACCATTCAAAAACCCTTTAATCCCTTGCAAAAGGTTCTTTGACTGTTCATGGTTCTACATAGAACTATTTTCTTTACTAACGAACACTTGAAGAGCCATCCTTTTCAAGTGTGCATGAGAAAAAGTCAATAAGTCTTCTCTCATACCCTCCGAACTCACAAATGCACATTATGACTACACTGTGTAGTACAATGTATACAGACCAGCCACTTCATTAAGTACACCACCTTGTATCTACACTCAGTCCAGTTTATCAGCTCCACTTACCATATAGGTACACTTTGGCCCAATCCCATTTCTTAGCTTTACCCCTACCCCTTGTTTTTGAGTGTTGTTTTTGCCCCTTGGAACTGGGTTAAAAGTTGTAGTCGTTGAAATTTTCCCATACGAGATGGGACAACCCTCAAATTACAAAAGGACATTACTTCACTAACAGGCTGCTAGTGGTGCTCTGTAGGCGACCCTGCCAGTCTGCAATCTCACTAATGCTAAATTGAGGGCATTATATATCTTCAAACAGGGGAAATGCAACAATTATTTATTATCGCCCACCCCTATTTCTTCAGTGATATGAAGCTGAAGTCAGCTATTCGCCAGCTTCTTGTTCTAATTTTCCCGTTCCACCTTAAATGGTGCAGCAGTTCTGGTGCCTGAGGTGCCAGAATGTAACTCCTGCACCATTTAAGGTGGAACGGGAAATTAAACTAGCTAGCTACCGAGACATCAGCAAGTGATTTTTTATGCTTGTTATCAAAAAAGGAACATAATACATTGAAACAACATTAAACTAAGATAATACAATGGTTATCTTAATGTTTTAATGGAGAAAATACTCACATCTCTAGGTTTCTTTGGTCACTTGCACGGCCATCTTGCTGATTTTTCTTTTTTCCTTAAAACACTTGGAGTGTGTCTCTGAAAAACCTCTGTTTAAAGGGCCATGTAGCCCAAACACTTCACCCTACCCCTCTATCTCAATAAGAATCAGGACACCCTACCTCTAGACATGAATGCGCAAAACGGAGGGGTAAAGGCTAAGTGGTAGGGGCAAGGGGTGAAAAGGGATTGGGCCATTGTAGTTCTACAATTATTTGTTACACTGCAGTCATGTTTGTTTACATTTGTTATAGGCAAAATCACACAGCCGAATGGCTTTAAACTTAGGCTTTGGCATGTAAGAGTTTTGCACTGTACTGTATTTTGCTAGCCATGTATATTAGTGCTGATGTTGAAGACTTCAAGTTAAGTGACCCGTATCTCCCACAACGGTGAAATTTCACCTCCATTTTAACCCATCCATGCAGAGAAACACCACATACATGAACACTAGTGAACACACACACTAGGGGCAGTGAGCACACCTGCCTGGAACAGTGGCCAGCCCTATCCACAGCGCCTGGGAAGCAGTTGGGGTCAGGTGCCTTGCTCAAGGGCACTTCAGTCACGTACTGTCGGCTCAGGGGATCGAATCAGCGACCTTCCCTAACCTCCAGCCCATGTCTACCACCATTTCAAGTTCCAACAATGGATCTGAGAGTAGTTTCCCAGACAGTGTTGTGCTACTGTAAAAAGAGATCATCATGAATACCATGACTAAAGAAAGATCATTTATTTGAATATTGCATATCAATGTAATATCAAGGTTACATGACACTCAATAATCCATCTTATATAGCTTTGCTTACTTCATGCTCAAAAATCAAGAAAATACATTCTCATAAGGCACACTGTTGGTAGTAGTAATGGCGGCATCCCTGGCTTTTAAAATCAACAATATCTGACATCTGATATTAGCCGATATGTTCTAAGTACAATTTAGTATTTATACCTGAAATGTGTTACACAGGTATCAAAGTTCCAGTACATTCGTATTTCTGTACTGCATACAACATAGCAACACACACAAAATTACACAATCAGTTTAACATCAGGAAATGTCCAGTCAAGGTCACAAAATAAATCTGAAAGAGATCTTCTAAGCACACTTAAAGTGAGTCAGTTTTGATTCTTTTATATGCATAGATCAAATCAGAATGTTTGTAGTCCTAAAGGTTGGCTATATATCTGGGTGGATAAGACAACAATAAATACAATTAAAACAGACAAAACATTGGCAATAACGGTAAAATCTTTTCGGGTTTGAGGCTGTAAACCAAGTACGTATTTTCCAAAAGCAGGTAGAGCTTCTATAAGTGGTATAAATCCAAGCTAATGACAATTTAGCAAATTCTATACACTTCAAGATGAAGTTGCCCAGCACTGTTGTACGACCAGTAAATACACCAGAATGTAAAGCAGGACAGTAAGTTGATGCATTCAAAGCTATTTTTATAATTATAACTCAGTAGAGAGCTCAACATGAGGCGACATAAGCTAGTTAAGAAGCTAATGCTATTAGCATTTATGCTAGCAGCCACAGAACAAGTGTTTTTGCTCATATTTTTACACAGAAAAATTGAAAATTTGTTAGGATTCTACACGATTCGGTGTAAATGTAACATTAGACATTTGGGTGACAGCACAGAACAGTGCAGTGCATCGTTTCATATTAGCCAACGAGGTAAGCCAACTAGCATGCAAGGTGGCTAACTTGACTAGCCAAATTAGACGCTTGAGAGTGACATGAAACGACCAGAAAGGCCATGAAATTGTTCATCTTGGTTATTATCACTGTTTCAGGTTTCTGTCAAGCATGTGGAAAATGTACTAGAAGTGTAAGTTCAGTTGGTTCTTGTTTCTGAATGTGCAGTGGGAAAACACCTTCATGAAACAAATGCCTTCTTTAATGAGTCTTGCAGTGAAATTTGTGGCTAATATCACAATTATATGATATATAATTAACCAGACAAAGTGGTGAAGTTATTGACCTTGGAGGATCAGTTTAAAAAGCTTTCTGTTTTTTCCAATATCTTGGTTAAATGAGTCTCAAGAGTAGTGCAAAAGTTCTTTGCTGTCATGGCTTAAGATTGATTTGTCCTATCCACCTCATAAGCAGACATTGAGTGCGTTTACATGCACTTAATAATCCGATAACTGCAGAAAATCAGATTTCGTCAGTAATCCGATCAACATGTTTACATGCACTTGAGTAATCAGATAATGGGGAAACTGTGGGTCTACATGAGTCAGACAGTAATCAGATTTCTGATTTACAACAGTAAATTCACAGAAGAAGACGCAGCGTAAATGTGACATAAAACTCGAACTTCATGCCGCAGCTTCTTTTTTTAAAAACATTGTGCCACTTTATCTGAAAATATGAACATACATCATCTAGAACATGAAGAATATCTAAAACCTTAATTTTGCGTTTGGTTTCAGTGTCGCTCTAAAAGTGTTTTGCTGCCATCTCGCGGCAACGCTGGTACCGCCATCTGTTTCGCACATGCGCAGACTGAGAAGTCTGAAAGAAATCAGAGTAAGAGTTCGCATGCACTGAAAAATCTGATTACTGAGCTGAAATCCAGCTCTTAATATGATTTCTACATCGGAGTATGGTGTTTACATGACAATTTGAATAATCTGATAACTGCGGAAATCTGATTATGATCAGATTATTGAGTCCATGTAAACGCACTCAATGTTATGTTAAATGCTTACAACATCCTAACATGATAGACATGTGGGAATAAGTAAAAATATTAAAAAGGGATGCTTGAGTGCTCGTGTGCCAATATTTGTAATTGATCTGTCATCAGAAAGCTGAACCTGCATAAGAGAAACACTTTAATCAGTGGATCCTATTTATAGCCCACACAAATTATCCACACTGATGAACTAATTTCATTTTAAATTCACAATTGTGTTTGCACTGGGAGTCGGACACAGGCAGGAAACCATAAAGCATAAAGTATTAGTTTAATTTAGAAAATTGTTTTTTAAAACCAGTGCTAAGATAATGCTCCATGTATGTTCAACATTGTATGTTAGCATCAAGCTAGTGGTGATAGCCCAGTGCTATATTGGATTTTTGTGTCGGCTCTGGTTTAACTAAAGATATCTTTAGCTCCTAACAGGCACGCAAGTGACATTCTTTACTTTGTGTGGCTCAGTTTTAAGTAACTCCTTGTTTAAAGGCTTAAACGTGAAGTCTGTCTTTTGTTATTGTGGCATCAGCCTGTTAGCTGGTTAGCTTTCTGTTGACCTGCTTAGTCTACTCTTATGAGGACAGAACATAGCCGGTTATAAAGAGAATATAAATTGTAAACCAGCTAAAGCAGCAACCTGTGATGTTCAACTAGCAGTCCATTATCTGGTTGCATTTTATGGGCACAGATTTCAGTGCTAATACCTGGGCTTTTTTCCAGAAGTCATTACAAAGCCCGTTCAAAATATGACAAAAGGAAAATATGACGAAATGATTTGTGTTGTAGACATCACAACCCCTGGTTCTTGTTACCACTGCTGTAAAGAAGCCAATAAGTTTCTACAGGATGGAGCATTTCTGATCAAACTCTGATTGACTCTTTATATATTTACAAAAACTGAATTATGTAACAATTTGGAAAATTTGCCCTTGACAGTCTTAAGCAAAGAAGCACTTAAAACAGGAATTGCAAACAAGCTTTAGGCTTTTATCACAGTACCATTTTTCTATTATTACTGGTAAGTGGGCTCCCTCTAGTGGTCTTCCTATTAATTATTCATATCTCTAAAAAAGTATAATTCATTTTAAAACTAAAAAGCATAAGAAACCCCCTTACACAGCTGTCTGGCTTAATGTCACTAATACTACACCTCCCAACATACCACTGCGCTCTGATAGTTAACCTGTATGACTGAAATGGCAAGTTATTTTAAAAGAATCACTCATTTAATAACTTTGATTATTCACATTTAATAACTTTTTTCAATACTGAAAAAATCCAAAATGTACCACATAGTTCTAAAATTGTATATCCCTTCCCACACTTATCCCTTTGCTTTCTCCATTTTACAATAATACATTTCCAAAAATATTTCAATGACACTTTTTTCCATCACTAATGCTCTTTTATTGCTAGTTGCATGCTGTGAGTTGCCTGCATCTTAATTTCTGTGCAACTTGACAGCTGCATGAAGTAATTCACAATCAATCAAAGTTGCAGGCAACCAGTTGCATTGAGTTACTTCACCAGTTAGCTAAATTAGCTGCCATAATTTTGATACACCATATCGTTCTCGCTACATAAAGTCATCCATGAGGTGTAATTTACATATTTGCAGCATTTTTATCATTTTCGTGTTTTTAGTTGTCATTGTTGTTGTTTTTTCCCTTTTCTAATAGTGTTCATCATTTAGATCCCAAATGAATCTGAGCTCTGCGCAAAATTAAGGGGAGGAAATGAGGCTCAAGAAAGGAAATCAATGAATCTAGTTACGCAGATCATGATTACTAGACAAAGAAGAATAAACGCTGGAACAAGCAGCCATTTAAACAGCTTTTAGTGCTAGCTGGCTAGGTGACGCAGTTGGGTCTCTTTCTTATGCACTAATCGGGTAAAATCAATGGTTTGAAAGTACTTTGTTCAATGTGATCACATGATCTGCTATTGCAAATTGGATTGGCTGTTTCACAAAACTTGTTCCATGAAGTTGTGATGCTTGCAACTTTTGCGGCATGAAAGTGTCATCATGTAAAGCCAATGCTGTTCACATTTTTTAGGAAATATCTGCTGACATGAGTATGATTTGTTATCACAGTGCATCCGTAATAACACTTATTAATAATAAAAATTCTCTAAAATGTCAATTTTAAATTTATTTTGTATTATTTACATTTCATGTAAATAATGTAAATTCAATGGCACTGTCCAGTCAAAGCTGTTTAAGTGGACATTCTAGTTAAGATCACAGTACAGGGTTTTGTGGTAAACCGTTCCTATGAGAAGTTTTCCTTTGTAGGGCGCAGCCACTGAAGATCCTATGAGCACGCTACCATCATCTGCATACACCTGTGTGACCACTGGCTCTTCAGAATGGATATTCTGGATGCGAATGACCTACAAGAAAAAAGATAAATGCCATATCAGAGTCAGTGGAGTCTGGCAAAGTCCAGACTCATATTTGGTTAACAATGAATTGTAGGTAATACATATTACAGGTTGTATAATACAACATGCCATGTTGTCCCCATATTCAGTTACACTATATGGCCAAAAGTATGTGGACACCCCTCATAATTACTAAGTTCAGGTGTTTAAGTCATACCCAGTTCTAACGTGTGTATACAATGAAACACCTAACCATGTAATCCACATAGACAAACATTGAGTGCGGTTACATGTACTCAATAATCCGAACATAATTGGACTTCTGCAGTTATCTGATTATTCAAATGGTCATGTAAACAGCATACTCTGATTTCTTAGATCGGTGTAAGGTCAAGAAAGCAGGATTTAGTTCAGTAATCAGATTTTTCAGTGCATGTGTACACTTACTCTGATTTCTTTTGTTTTTCTCAGTAAGTAAGCAGCGTTGCTGCAAAATGGCAGCAAAACACTTTTGGAGTGACGCTGAAACCCACTACAAGCTTGACGAAATGAAGGTTTTAAATATTCTTTATTTTCCAGATGATGTGTGTTCATATTTAAAGTGACGCAATGCTTTTAAAAAAAGACAGCATAAAATTTGAGTTTTATATTACATTTATGTCACGCCTTCTTCTGCAAGTTCATTGGCAAAGCAGAAATCGGATTACTGTCTGACTCATGTAGACCCACAGTTTCCCCATTATCTGATTACTCAAGTGCATGTAAACGCATTGATCTGATTACTGACAAAATCGGACTTTCTGCGGTTATCGGATTATTAAGTGCATGTAAACGCACTCACTGGCATTAGATGGGAGTAGAATGAGCACTCTGAATGACTTTGTTTACATCTTCACACTTTATTTATGCAGAAATTTTGAGAATTCTGCCTCACGTGAAATTTTAATCTGTTTCTCTAGTGGCTATTCAAACTGTTTTGAATGTAACTAGCAGATGGCGTAAGTTGGCACTTTCCTTACAATTCCTCCCATTATATACACAAAAAAAACAAAACTTGGAAACTCTGGAGGTAAACGGAGTGAATGGAGGTAAAAGTGTAAAAATGTTATGTTTTTTCTAGTCTTTTATGCAGGAGATATCTTTAATCCTGGAAAGTACAAGAATCAAATACATTAAAAAAAATACGAGAAAACCTTCTGTTTTTCTACAGCAAACAGTTTTGGGCAGTAGGATGCAAACATAACTGCGATGGATACCCCCAGTCAAATTATGTGTTGTTTTCTAAGTCAAAAAAGGTGCCACATTTTACGTTTTATTTCTTTCCAATATGTCAAATTCAGCAAAAAAAAAAGTAAAATACATTTATACTGGATAGGACCATGTTTACATCTCAACCACTGAATTATGTACAAATGCAACAGTCTAAAGCAAAGAAGGACCTTTAAAACAGGCTGCAAATATAAATACATGATTTTTAAAAGATAAACTAACTAAGTCCTCATCTAAATGTAATATGAAGACCACTCAAGGGAGCCCACCTCCAGTAATAACAGAATGATGGTGCTGTGATAGAACTTGTGCCTTTTGCTTGTTTGTAGTTAATATAAATTAAAGAGGTCTCAAAAAACTGTCCTCGCTTTGCTGTGATAATGACATAAATATCACAAGATCTTAAGATAACAAACTAAAATAAGTTATTATCACAGAAATGTCACTGTCACGACAAAACAAGTGTTGTATTCTTGAGATCCTGAGTTATTTATATCATCATCAGGACATAATGAACGTTGTTTTATCAGGATAACATTTATTTTGTCGTGAAAATTATATAAATATCACAAGCTCTCGAGAAAACAAAAGAAAATAACTTATCACAGAAAAAAAAACAGAGTACAAAAACATGTAAAACCATATGGTATGATTGTATACAAATGACATTCATGGTAAACAGAGTAGAATTTTTAAGGTTCTACTCAATGTAATAAAAAAAGTTAAAGATAATTTCAGACCATTTTTGGGAGCATTAATGCTAAATCTAGCTCAGCAAACTAAAAACAACCAATAGTATGAATTGAATTCAGACGACAAACAACAGAAACCAAAACGACTGCACTGAAAAAAGTTCACAGAAAAGACAGCAAAGTGATGCCCTTTTTGAATATTCAGTTCCACCTTAAATGGCGCAGCAGTTAGGTGCCAGAATGTAACTACTGCACCATTTAAGGTAGACTGGATATTGAATACGCTGCCAAATAATAAGTCAACTGCAGCTTTGTGGTGAATGTTGCAATAGTTTTGACTGCAGAAGCCATAAAAACCACTCAAATAGAAAGCGCTCAGTTCTGTTTAACTACCGTGAGGAAAATAAGGTGGCCTGGTAAGTTTCTCCTGGGGTTAAAGTGCTGAGTGAAGGCTTGTTGGTGCTAATGGTGCTTCACTTGTTTCTAGCTTGTGGAGTCTAACTTGAATGATCAGAGTATTCCCATGACTAGTAATGTAACATGATGAGCTTTAGTAATGTTTGTGAGGGAAACGTAAGCTCATTCTGACAGATCACTTACAGTGTGATCTGTGCATCCTCAGGAAGTAGTTTGTCAGAACACCAGCACATAGAGTTTACTGACCGTTCTGCTGCTTCAGAATCCACATCAGCATGTTTTCATTTCCGGTGGTGTGAGATAACGTGCTTCCACTGAAACCTAAGTCACACTTGCACATGTTGTTTGTGACAGCTTTATCCTGCACTTTAAGAAATCAATGCTCCAAGATTTACTTCTTTTTTAATTGCCCTTTTTCTTTTGCTATCTGCTCACATAGACTCGACACTATGAGCAAATTGCTGCCCTCTTCAGGTTAAATCATTAAATCTCTCTAGGTTGTCACTTTGAACCACGGAAATATCGGTCAGCGATTCTTTGTCGGCATTATCAAAAATATCAAATAATTGTTTCAGCCCCGCCCTAAACTCTCGGAAATTCAGTCTTTTGGTCGACCAAGAAAATCCTTAGTCGGGGACATCCATAAATACCACAAATTATTTTTTTCTAGCCTATACATACAAACCTCAGAGCCCGGCGGATCGTTCATATCACCGGTAAGGAATTTCATTCCATTTGGGTGGCAGCCAGACCACAAATCACCAGTTTCCATGTCTACTTCAATGTTATCACAGAGAGAGCCCACTGCAACGTCCTGGGCGAAAGGAAATAAAAGTATGCTATCATCATGTAGATGCTTACAAGTTGTACATGTTTAAAGTAGGAGATACTAAAAAGAACACTGATTCTACTTTATGCATACCTTTACATGGGACAGTGTGTTGTCCTTCTGGATCTCCATCACAGCAATTCTGTGATTCATAATATCGGACACATACAAATACCTGATCCGAAGAAAAAAAAAAATCATTTGTTGACATTTTATTTCTGTTCAAAAATCTAATTAAAAATATTTATTTGCAACATTTCCAGTGACATTTTCACTGCGATTCTTAGGTTAAAGCCAGAATTCAGTGAAAAATCAAACTGAATTTTCCCCCATGTTGTCAGTCGGCCAGAGACATGTTTGATGTCTAAAGTAGGGCATGGCTTATTTGAAAAAATCGAGGCTAATGCATAACCAATTTTAAGGGACTAAAAATTTAGACAACCAGTGTTTCCCATACACAGGTTACTTTTAGAGATGACTTGTACTTGTATGAGGGATCCACCGAAATTCAGCCACCAAAATTTTCGGCTACATGCTCGGTGCATGCCCTTATGCAAGTTTAAGTTATTTGAAAAAACTATACTGTGTTTTGATTTATTGGCAAAAAAATCTGTTGCCTAGAATACCAAGGTCAAGAAGTTAATGCGTACAAAATTTGGCAACATCATCTTTTGAGACCCCATATCAAAAATGATTAAAAATAGAGACCAGTTTCTAAAAACCTTTACAATCGTGTTCTACTGGCTCCTCAAGGTGCCTGGACCCCGAGAATTGCCACTTTTGATGCGTGTAGACAGTCACTTAATTCTCATAGTGGTTAGAACAATCCACAGAAATCAATGTAACAAATAAAGTACATGAATTTCAGAAAAAAGTGACAGCTGACTGTCTTGGGTGCAAACAATTTACATATATAAACCTTTTTGCACCCACCGTTCCAAAGCTATAGAAAGTTTGAATGTGTGAAAATGAAACCAACTTCAGTCACAAATGTGGCTCTCTTCATGTTTCAGTAGCTTTATCTTCATTCTGATTGGCCAATTAAAATAAAGTGTGAGCCAGGCCTTCTTGTCCAACATCAGTACCTTACCTCACAATTGGTCTTTTGACTGAATGGGCATAAATTCCCACAGACACACTTCAAAATCTTTTGGAAACCCTTCTCAGAAGAGTGAGGGCTGTTATAGCCACAGAGAGGGGGGAAATGTCATATTAATACCCATGGTTTTGGAATGGGATATCCAGCAAGCTCATATAAGTGTAATGGTCACATATTTTTGGCCATATAGCATATTTCTAAAAATTTGTAGACATCTACTCAATGTTTTGTCTGAAATCAAAGGGTATTAATACAAAGTTTGTCCCCACTTTGCTGCAGGAACAGCCTCTACTCTTCTGCCACCACAGGGCCTGCAAAAAGAGTTCTGGAATGGGACGTCCAGCAGGCTCATGTAGGCGTGATGGTCAGGTGTCAACATACAACTGGGGCTGAAAGCAGCCCACCGTTAATATTGGTAGGCCTTTAGTCCAAAGAAATGCAGTTTGCATGATGAAAACTAAAACGTAAACTTCAGATATCAAACGTGTCTTAACTAATCAACTACATCTGAGTTGAGAGGAAAACTGTCCAAGTTTGATTTTGTAGTGAATTTTCACATTAAAAAAGTACATCAATCTTTTAATTAAACAATAATGCGAAGCTCGACTTTTCTTTGAGACTTGCCTTCTGTTGGGGGAGATATTAATGCCATTGGTGGAAGGAAATCCCCCAGCCACAGACTTAACTTCCTCGGGGCTGTAGTACACGACATCGCACCAGGTTAAGGAAAACAGGGGCTCCAATAACTTCAGCAAATCAAAGGTGAAGTAGTGGTCATTCGTGGCATAGAAACTGTCCACTCCAACAGCTACGATGTCATTCACGCTGTGAAAATGCAATTCACACAAGAGAAAAGAACATATGAGAGAATTCCAACAATTCACTCAAGCACTTGTGTCAAAAATATGTATGGAGCAGTGGTCCGCAAGCGTTTAGGGCTATTCATTAATAAGCCAGAATAAATAAATAAATAAATAAATAAATATATACATTCATTATTTAAAAGTAATCATTACTATGTTGTTATTATTTCTTTATTTTTAAATCATTTATTCAATTACAATATTTATATTAAGATTATATGGTCGTTTGCAAAAGTTTTGGCACCCTTGGTCGAATTACATTAAAAAAAATAAAAAGAATATAAAATGTGTCCTATGCAAAAGTTATGGTATTCAGCTCATTTTAAGTAAAAATAAATAACATCAAAAAGGAATTATTCACTCATGGATTATGGTGTATGGTGCAATGGGCCACACGTATGTGCACACGGGCATTCTGGGCAGTTTACTTATTTACAACCCCATTTCCAAAAAGTTGGGATGCTGTGCAGAATGTAAATAAAAATAGAATGCAAATGATATACAATATTTTTTAGGGAAATACTACAAAGACTACGTTGAATTAAACGTTGAAACTGAGAAATTTTATTGTTTTTTTTTTTTAATATATGCCCATTTTGAATTTGATGCCAGCAGCACATGGCAAAAAAGTTGGGACAGGGGCATGTTTACCACTTTGTTTCATCACCTCTTCTTTTAACAACACTCTGTAAGCTTTTGGGAACTGAAAAGACCAATTACTGCAGTTTTGAAAGTGAAATGTTTCCCATTCTTGTTTGATGCAGGATATCAGCTGCTCAACAGTTTGGGGTCTCCTTTGTCGTATTTTTGATTTTATAATGCGTCAAATGTTTTTAGTGGTGACAGGTTTGGGCTGCACGCAGGACAGTTTAGCACCAGGACTCTTTCAATACGGAGCAATGTGGTTTGACATTGTCTCACTCAAATAAACAAGGCCTTCCCTGAAAAAGACGTTGTCTGGATGGCAGCATATGTTGCCAAAACATGTATATATCGTTTAGCATTAATGGTGCCTTCACAGATGTGCACGTCACCCATGCCATGTGCACTAATGCACCATCGTGAGTGCTGGCTTTTGAACTGTGCACTGATAACAAGCTGAGTGGTCTTTAGCCCGGAGAACACTGTCCATGATTTCCAAAGAGAATTTCAAATATTAATTAGTCGGACATACAGGACACTTTTCACTTTCCCTCAGTCCATTTTAAATGAGGTCAGACCCAGAGAAGGTGGCGGCATTTCTTGGTCTTGTTTATATACATTTCTTCTTTGCATAGCAAACATGAGTGAGTGAGTAAGTTACAAGTCAGATCTATAAGGTGCTTTGCATCTAAAATTATCATGCGGACCACTAGTATAGTGCTGCTGTCGGAACAAAACCTTGTATGTCTATTTTCATCATTTTTTCAGTTTTTTACACCATTTAAAAATGTCTCGTCCTTTACATTGTGTGTATATTTCGTGATACCAAATAAACGGGCCAAAATTAATTCTAAAAATGTCTGGTTCCATTGAGTTACATTAAAAGCAGAGTATGTTTTTTCCTTCTCCTCTAAAGTTACCACTTAGAAGACACAAGGTTTTGGTCCGACAACATCAGTAGTGTACATAAGGGTGCATTTTAAGAGACATACTTATGCAGCAATTCATGCTTTATGGTCTTCAGGTGCAGCAGAGTGTTTTTCTCTTCAAAAAATTTAAAAATCTCAACTTGGCAATTACTATGGGGGTGACTCACAACAAATAAATATCTGGAGCCATCTGCAAAAAGATACAAGAACAGTTTTTTTTAAAAGAAATATACACAGTTGAGACTGGATGATGTTCTTGATTTTGGCAACGTTTGCAATACCTTTTTCATCTGTATACACGCTGATTCCATGCGGGTTGAAAGAACTTGCATCAAAATCCCCTTCGATTTTCAGCTCTATGGGATTCTCTCCGGAGCGCATGTTTAGTGCAACAATCTTTCCAACGGCATCTGGACTACATGGCAAGCCTGGATACTTCAGACCCTATGTTTGATAAATTTAAACATAATGAAACACTTGATATCAAGAATTGAATTTCTACATGTGAAAATTAAATTTTCAATAGTAAAAATGTAATTCTTACTAGTAAAAATGCTTCCCCCATTAAAAAGAATGGAGAAACTCATGACTTATCACTAGTAAAAAATTTATTTTCGCATGTAGAAATTACATTTTTGATATCAAGAATTCAATTTTTACTAGTAAAAATTAAAATGTTATCAAAAATTACATTTTTACTAGTAAGAACTAAATTCTCCATATCAAAAATTACATTTCTACTAGTAAAAATGTAATTTTATATGTAAAAAATTAAATTCTTGATATCAAGAATTAAATTTTACTAGTACTAGTGAAAATCAAGAAAAAATGATTAAAAGCAAAAATGGCTTGCCATAAATATCACAGTAATTTCTAACCCTGAACTATCTAAGCATACCACATACTCTAAAATGGAAATCTATGTTTACTATGAGTCTATAAGTAAATCTATGAGTAAAATTCCTGAACATAAAAAAAACAATACACTCATAGTTAAGAGTAACATACTGTGCTTATAAGGGCCAGTCCATCTTCAAGTATGGTGAGATCTTCAGATCCATATTCTGTTTAAGCACATGAGAAAGATAGCATGCATTTTTATATTTTTATTTATTAGCTTAGACAGCATGATAACAGCTCTGTTAGTGTTAACCACAGAACATGTTTGACTAAAGCAACTGGCACTGAAGGGACAGAAAGGTAAAATTAAACTTGTTCTGTGGTGTTTGGATCTGTAGCCTGATCAGATAGCTTAACAGTAGCTTAGCGAGCAGGCTACATGCCCAAACAGAGCCACACACCACACTACAGGGTTGATTCTGACTAACTGCTGCTCTGCTGACACAAGTTTAGATGATGAAACTAATGACTGAGTGAATAAAAGTGGACTGACTAGTGTTGGAGGGACAAAAAGCCAAAATCCAACCTGTTCTGTGTTGATTTTGTAGTGTTTCAGCTAAGCTAACAAGAGCTTACTTAGCAGGCCAAACGTGCCACACCTCACAGCACAGGCTTGGTCCCAGCTAACTAATCCTAAAATGACACCTGTTTAGAGGATATCTTAAAAAGCAACTGGCATTCGAGTGAAAGCTGAAATTGAACGTGTTCTGTGGAGAGTGTAGCTCTTAGCCATCACTGAGCTGCTATCATGCTAAGTTTTTTTAGTTTTTTCCTGCCTCACTTTTTTCCCCTACTTCATATCAACACCACCCACCAGCAAGGCCCTCTAAAATCCTAATATGCGGAATGTGTTTGTTTAGCTGTTCAGGTGTGGCACAGAAACATCATAATTTTACAGTATATTCACAGTATACCTTGTTATCTACTAAAACTGGACAGAAAAAAATTGATATCTGTAAAATATTACCAATATTAGTTGCTTCCATCACTTACATCATAATTTTTTCCCTTCAGACGGAAACCTGCCTAATGACGAAGGTTATTAGCCATGTTCAGCTTTCGGCTGTTCATTATTAGTGCGAGACGAAGGCGAAAAAGGTGAGATGTGTTGCTTTTCCACTGTTTACAGGCTTTAACTTCTGTTCAGCGCTGCTGCCAGAGTAACTGAATGATGGCACACGCACAGTGGAAAAAAGCACATGAATTCCGATCTGATTACATTAAAGTCACATGGCCACAAATTGAACACGTATCCAATCTAGGACCACATATGAAAGTGGTTCAGGTCGGATTTGTGTCCACACAGCCCTGAAAACATCAGATCTGAGTCACATTAGTTCCAAAAATCGGATTTGTGCCACTTCAACATGGTAATGTGAACGTAACCTTTATTAAGGTTAGAGGTAAAGACATGCTCATGACTGCAACATGATAACTAACCTTAGGTAAACCAACCGTAGGTTATCTCAAGGGGAAATATATTTCTGCATTGGAAACTACAAACCATTTCATTAATCATTAAATGAGACGGCCATGCCAAATATCCCATCATGACCTTTGGCTCAATAAAAGAATGCAATAACAACAACTGATAGCAAGTCCAGTTTGTTTTCTCATTTTCCTTTTATTACCTGTCACAAAACACGCTCTCTGCATGTTTTTATAAGCAGCCATTCTTTATTTCCAGGACCATATGCAATGTGTCCTAAGGAATCAACTCACAATATAAATCTCATGGTTTACTATTATTAGCAAGTGAACTGGCACATCCAAGTATATGACAGCAGCGTATCCGAAATATGTGAAGGGAAACAAGTATTCAGACACGTTTGCTTGTTATTTATACTTCCAGTGTATATATCCACATCAAATTTACACATATGAACTAAAAAAAGTATGCATTTCTCAGCATAGAAAAGTATTCAGACACTATATGAAATGCATACATTTGTAAACGTTATATAAAATTATTTCTACAAAGAAATGATGCCAACTTATAAAAGATGTTGCCATTTGTTGGGAAGACAACAAGGCGCAATCATGGTGAAGGTGAAGGAGCTTCTCCAGGACCACACTAATAAACAACACTCGAATGGAAGCAAAGACGTTCAACTTTTGATAATATATAAGTGGAAAGTTCATGGTACCACAACTAATTGCCCCCCAGACATGCAAGACTTCACAACGTGCTCTCGGACTATTCATAAAGAAGGTAGGAGAGAAGCCGGCAGTCACTTGAAAAGAGCTGCAGGCCGACCTGAAACCAGCAGAAACAACAGTTACACAAGCAAAAAACTGCACTGCAACCATCTCTGCTCCCCACACAAAGCTCCTCTGTTTAAAAAGAAGCACAGAGATGTGCTTTAGACAAATCAGAACTCATCTGGAATAACATACTCTGGTCAGACAAAACAAAAATAGAACTCTTCGGCAAAGACAACTCGTCATGTTTGCAGAAAGAGGGATTACATGTATGATCCCAAGAACACCATTCTCTCAGTGAAGTATGAGGGTGGGAGCATCATGATATTGGGCTGCTTCTCCTTCTCCATTACACATCCTTGGAAGAAACATGAATGGAGTGATGTACCAGGACATATTAGAGGAGAATTTAATCTCATCAGCCAAATAACTAAATATGGAGAGAATATGACGTGTTGAAACGTGTCAAACGTATTTAAGTGCACAAACCTGAGGTGGGTATATGCACTGGCAGCATATTACATAATGAAAACTTGTTTCTCCTCACTGGATATGTGGTGGTTTGCTGGTAATTCAAAGTCTGCACAACCTTACTGGACCTGGATGTGGTTTGAGCAGGCTGAGAGAAGTTTTGTGGTGTATTTATGAAAAAGTTTTGGGTGATTATGGACGTAAATGTAAACATTCCCTTTAAATGCCATTAAATCCTTCAGAAGACTTTTTGTGAATCTGAACCGTGTTTGATATCTTGACTCACCTATTCCTTTAACCAGCTGACAGTTGGGAAGGTGATTTTGAGTGAGTTCTCTGAAGGCCAGGGATAGATTCCTATGACAAAAACAAATAATTAAATTCATTAAGAGCCCACATCATGGAAAACCACTTATTCCTGGCTACAGCAGTTAAGCTCCACCCATTCACGCTGAAGTTACAAGGAGTGTTTCAGCCCAGACTACTTTTTGAATGAGGTACGATACAGGGCAGCCAATCAGAACAGAGCTCATTTACATGTATCAGTTTTAAAAACACATAACAAAACTAGCCTGCAATACAAGGGAGGCTGAAAAATAGTCATGTAGAAATTCATGATGACTGTTTTACGTACATAAACCAATATAAGTCACCCCTAAGGTGATTATTTTTAATAAGTCATGGCCACAAATTAACCCCTTAAATGGCCAGAGTCCACTGGTGGGCCTATAGTTTTATTACACTGTTTTATTGTAACTATAACCTAAAAAAAAAGCTCAGCTGGTTTGCACTGACAACCCTGTAATTGCTGAATAATAAACCTTAGTATGTAATAAGACTGGGATTTTAAGGGGTTACATTTCTCATGGCCACAAATGATTATATTGAGGCCATGAATTAATTATTGGAGCCATGAACTGATACATTGAGGCCACAAATTAGTACATTCTAAAAGTGATGTGTTAAATAACAACACACTTGGCTTGTGTTACCTGTTTCAGCACTTTTTGTGCCATACTGTTTTCTGATTTAACATACCGTGTTGAAAGTAAAGTATTTAGTTTATATATAGGCCACAAATTAATATTGAGGCAACTAGTTAGGTCTCTAGTGGCCACAATATATTAAAAAACTTAACTTGTGGCCTCAGTATATTAATTTGTGGCCACACCTTTTTAAAAAATAATTTCTGTCACCTAATCAGCTGTATTAAGTGAATAAAACACAAGAAAAAAGTGCTATATTGGCCATTTAGAGCCTTTAAATACTGGCTGGCATTTTTAACGGACATCTGTTAGATGTTAGATCCCATATCTGCCTCAATTCAACAAAACTCCCAAAAAAACTCCTGAGTAAGTAAGTAAATAAACAGACAGTGTTGAGTTTGGCTCATTTGAAGGCCTCCTCGAACATCAGTACTGCAAAGCCCAAACACTGCCATGACAGTTGTAGCCTTAAGTTGCCATAACAGTCATGCAGCCTTGAGTGTGTAAACACAACGTTTCACCAGTGAAATAGCCTTACCACACAGCCTTATTTACAACAGGGGTCAAGGTGTACAGAAGGACAGTGTTATGGTGCTTAGCAAGCCTACTGTACTCTACACACCCACCAGTTCATATTTTGGGCTGCCCTCACAGCCTCACTATCAGACCAGCACGACTGCTGTTCCTGGAGTCGAGCTCTTAAACTCAAAACAGCGTTAAAAAGTACGCCTTGTTCTACAGCTGTTCTTGCAAATAAGTCGATAACTGTCAGCCAAAGTGTTCCCAAACTTAAAAAGTGACCAACCTTAGCGCAATGAATCGTTCTCCCACCAGCGCTGCCAGAGCTACCACGAAAACAGACAGCAGCACTAACTTGCCCATGTTGCTGCGATGACTGTTTTCGGTCAGTAACCAACGGACTATTTATCAGTGACGTCACCGCAGAGGCCCCCTCCCATTGGTGGGAACGCGAACATCCAAACTCTCTTATCTGAATTGTGTATAAAGGGCAAGGTAACGGCTGACCCTTTGGTCCAGTTAAAGAGGTTTATGGAGTTTTATTAGAAACAGATAAGAGAATAAATGACATTAAAAGAAAACAACAAACAACAACAAATTGCAAATTGTAGTACTTTTTTTTTTTAAACACATAAACGATATATTGATTGATTTTATATGAGCTACATTTGTAGTTTTTATTTTTAAGTCTAAAACAAAGAATTATTGCGTCACCCTAAAATACTAAAATGTTAAACAAATCATCTAAAAAAAATAACATTGATGTCTAGTTATAATGTAAATCTACATTACAGAAGTAATTGTAGTAATAGACCAATCAGAATGTAACGTTATGTAAGCATGAATGTGTGTTTGAGGCTATAAGAGGTCCACATATCTTTAAAAAGTGCTAAGGTAAACCCATTTTTTCTGCTACGGCTGAAGGAGAGAGAGAGAGAGAGAGAGAGAGAGAGAGAGAGAAAGAGAGAGAGACAGACAGAGAGAGAGTTGTTAAGTTTAATTTCAGTGCATGAAACTACAAATAATTAACGCCATGTTTGGGGCTCCGTCTGATTTCAGCGTGCTATAGTGACTGTTAATCACCTCAGATTGGTTAGGCCTGACCCTGAGACTAAGGCCCAATCCCTTTTCTTCTTTTTACCCCTACCCCTTGTTTTCTAGTGTCACCCTAATCCCTTGGAACTGAGTTGCAAGGGGTAGTGGTTGAAATCTTGCCCTACGAAATGGGACCCTCAAATTAAAACAAACAAATAAACACAAAAAAGCATGACTTCATTAACAGGCTACTAGCGCTGCTCTGTAGGCGACTCTGCCAGTCTGCAGTGACAGCAGAGGAGGGTAAAGTTCAGCTCCTCACTGCTGGGTTTTAGTTACATTTAGGGCATCATACACCTTTAAAGAGGGACGATTATTTATTATCGCCCACCTCTAATTCTTCAGTGATATGAAGCTGAAGTCAGCTATTCACCAGCTTCTTGTTCGAATTTTCCCGTTCCACCTTAAATGGAGCAGCTGTTACATTCTGGCGCTTCAGTCGTCAGAACTGCTGGGCTATTTAAGGTGGAACTGTAAAGTTAGTTAGCTAGCTACCGAGACATTAGTGTGCTACTAGCAATTTTTTATGCTTGTTATGAAGAAAACGACCATAATACACTGAAACGACATTAAACTAAGATAAAACAACGGTTCTCACATTCATGGGTTTCTTTGCTCTCTTGTTCAGCCATCTTGCCGGTTTTTCTTTATTTCTCATAACACTCTGTTTGAAGTGTCTCTGAAAACTTCCGTTTGGAGGGCCATGTAGCCCTAACACTTCGCCCTGCCCCTCTATCTCAACAAAAATTGGGACACCCTACCCCTAGACGTGAACACGTAAAACAGAGGGCTAAGGGCTAAGTGGTGGGGGCAAGGGGTGAAATGGGATTGGGCCTAAATCTACCAGGAAACAGGATCAGAGATCCAGGCAGCCCGTGTCCCCAACCACACACTGGTTCAGGTTTCGGTTTTTCCTGTCTTCCACCTTTTTAAAGGCGGGAAAGTGGTGGACCTGTAATTTGAAGTAATTAGAAACCCAGCGAATGCATCGTTAGCCTCGCGCTAAATTAACCATAGATGTACATCCCTAGATGCCGCGTTTTCTGTTGTCCTCTATCTGAGGTGATACGTCTGCGCATACGCCGTGGTGAACAAATTCACTTGTATTGAGAGACGAAGAGTCTCAGGATTAAATCGACCACAACCTCCATATTACTCAACCGATTTTAACCAAAATTGTTTTGTTATAATCCTCAGACATAGACTGATTTAGTTTGCATGGACTGCTCTCGGGAGATTTAATTTTTTTTTTTATTTTCCAGCAGCAAATAGTTCAGTCTGCACCTAACGTTAAAAACCGAGTTGTGATTTACAGCAAATCCATCAATGTGTGAATCACTTCTAACCTTATTACACAGTAAGAAGGACAAAGCTGAAGTTAGCTTCCAATTCGCCAGCTTCTTGTTCGAATTTTCCCGTTCCACCTTAAATGGTGCAGCAGTCACTCTCTGGTGCCTGGAGCTGCACCATTTAAGGTGGAACTGGAAATTTTGAACAAGAAGCTGGCAAATACGAAACTGACTTCAGCTTCGTGTAAGAAGGTGATCTATTACCTATTATGAATATCTACACAAGCTTTAACCATCATTGTAAATAAATAACTACTACATAAGGTTAGGATCCCCTGAATAGACTATTAAATGAAATAAGCTTAATATAAAACTAGAGGAAAAACAATCACATCAACAGGTTCTCTGTGCCTCACCAACCACACGGCCATATCTGCACATAAACATCACACAAACAATACGCATCACACAAACATGAGTGTGGATCACTGCGTTTCCTCCGTTATATAATCTATCCCACTTTCTATATAAATTTGGACAGTATCTTTCTTAAACTGCTGCTCTGTAATGGTACTGAATGCAGTCCAGCAGCGATGTTGACCGCCCCAAAATGGCGGTGCCGTTGACGAGCCTGGCTGGACCCAACGTGGCATCTAGGCATGTATATCTATGGTAGCAGCTATTAGCATTATCATAGCGGATAAAATAACTGCTACTCATAAACACTGCAGTGAAAATGAATGGCTGCTGCATGATCATGATTAAAGGATTGAAAACTGAACCCCACACAGTCCAGTTAATCGTGAAGTTATTGGAAAGGAAAGATCAGTTTAAAACAGAATTTAATGCACCAGAACAGCTTTATTAGCACACAGCCATTCATCGATACCAACAACAACGTCATTAGGAGCACAGAGTTTACTGGTATTCGATAATGAATATGTGGAGGTACACACTAACTATTCAGATGTTTCTGAAAATGAAAGAAAAATAATGAAATACTGAAAATAAAAGAATGAAAATGAAATAAAAATGAAAATAAAATCTAAAAATCAAATAATACCAATAATAACAACAACATTCAAGATACGAGTGTAATGAAAATGAATGAAAAATAATAAAATACTAAAAATGAAATGAAAATGTAAAAAAAAGAAAATTATAATAACAGTAATAATAACATTCAAGATCTTAAATAACTAGTGTTATTTAATCATTCATTTATTTAGCAATTATAATTGTAAATAATATACATATGTGTAATTATTATTATTATTATTAGTAGTAGTAGTAGTAGTAATATTTTACAATCAAAATAAAACAAATCAAATTAAATGTAAATACATAATAAGTAATAAAATGTATGTAAGAGCAATATATCCTTAAAAAAAACAAAGGTTATAAAAATGTCTCTGCCCACTTTATGAACTCATGTCACTGTGGGTGAATTGTTTTTGGTGCACTAAACAACATCAAACATTGAATTTTACCTTTATAAAAAATATATATATCACTTCTACCACCAGGTGGCAGTGATGCACGTTTTTTTACTGGCCTGTGAGTGGAAGGGAAAAATTATGATGCAACAGCAAAAGGTTAAAGAGCCCATATCCTACATTTTACTTACACGTCTTATATTTCTGTGGTCTTGTGTCCCTAAAAAAACAGTCTTAATTCTTTTTTACATGCTCATATTCCAGCCTCTCTTTATTCCTTAGAATTTGGAGTTTGCCTCTGAATAAGCTCCGTTTGGAGGGCCATGTAGCCCCAGCACTTCACCCTACCCCTCAATAAAAATCAGGACACCCTACCCCTAGGCATTTACGTGTCAAACTGTGCGGTAAGGCCTAAGTGGTAGGGGCGAGGGGTGAAATGGGATTGGGCCTAAAGAAACCCGCAAATGTATGTAAGTATTTTCTCAGTTAAAAATTACGATAATTGTATTATCTTACTTTAATGTTTAATAAGATAATGTTTCAATATTTTATGGTCCTTTTCTTCATCTTTGTAGGGGAAGATTTCAACCACTTCCCTTTCTAACTCAGTTCCAAGGGGTAAGGTTCAGGGAAAGGTCACTGTTACAGCATTTTATTTGAGCCTGCTTTATAAGACACACCTGCCTTTGCTGTTAACTGTAACTAGAATTAAAATTAAATGGTTCACCAGCTTCACCAAACTAAGTACTGATTTTACCTTACCAACTAGCTAGGCATGAATACCTCTGACAAGCTGTCACAATTCAGCAGTATGCTGCATTACTTCTCTCACCAATTCAAAGGTGATGTTCTGAAAAAACTGTAACAAGTAATCTGAAACAAGTAATCTCACTACTCATTACCTCTATATTACTCTATATAAAAACCTAAACAAATTTGTACGAGCAGAAAAGTTCAACTCAAGTTTTCGGTACTTCATTTACAACCCAATTCTAAAAAGGTTTGGACAGTAAGCCTGTTAAACGCTAATAAAAATTAAAAAATGGCAATTTGTAAATTCAGTTTGATCTGTACTATATTGAAAACAGTATAAAAACACAGAAAAGCATGTTTTACTTTATGAACGTCATGGTTCTTTTTTGTAAATATGTGCTCATATCAAATGTATTGCCTGCAACACATTGTAAAAAAGAATTGTCTGATATGGGGAAAGCTGCAGTTGTGCTGTTTTGTTTTTGGCACTTACCCCTCCTCTTTCACCCCTTTTTGATCGCTAGCAGCTCACCACAGCCAACAGTGTCCTGGTTAATCTGATAACAGAGGTACAGTTAAAAAAAAAATCAGATTTGATTTCTATTCCAGCAGAACGGCACTGAAGACTTAGATTAAAGGAATACTATAGCAATATAGTTCAACCTTCACTGTATGGCCAAAAGTATGTGGTCACCTGACCATCAAACCTGTTTGAGCTTGTTGGACATCCAATTCCAAAACCATGGGAATTAATATGGAGTTCCCCCCCTTTACAGCTACAACAGACTCCACCCTCCTGGGAAGCTTTCTACAAGATTTTGTGTGTCTGTG